GGTAGAAAATATCCGTTTGAATTCGATAAATAATAGTGATGAAGAGAACGAGGATCATCAAAGTATCATCGATAACGATATTGATGTAACTTTCAGTACATCTGATTCGGATCATGATGTACAAGAAGAATGTTTAAAAATATTTCAGGTATGCACATTAAAAATTGATCTTATCGAGATTCTCTAAAAAATTGAAGAATAGTATCGAAGAATATATTTATTTGTGTTACAAGGAATATCAAGTACCTGAACGGTCAAAAGAAATAGAGCCATCGAAAGAATTATCGGCATTCCACGAGAACGAAAAGGAACAAAAAGAAGAGATTGGCAGAAAAAGAGTGGCGCATCCTTCAGCTGCCGCATGTGTTACCAGACAAATTGGAATTAATCAACAGGCAAGAAAATTAATAAATCCGCAACAAAAAATGTATGAAAGATGGCGTTTAATACGAGATACTGTAACAGAAAAACCTATTAACGCGAGCAGTAATATTTCTAAGGATGTGCGCCGAATTTGTCCCGAAACGATAGGGATAACGAGCAACAACGATTTAAAATTAAATGGAAATGGTAATATAATAATTTTTTTGGGAAAATATACGAAAATATTTTAAATATTATAAATAAACATTATGTTAATTAATTAGTTATCTATACGAGATTTATTTTGTTTGATAATATTTGTAACAGGTCGCGTCCGAATTGCTCATGTACCGTATGCTAAATCTTTAGCGATAGAAAAAAAAAAGGTGACGGAAAATTGTGTAGGAAAATTAGGAGAAACAAAAATAACGGATAATTATAAAACAGCTGCGCAAACAGCGAAGAGTGGTATACGTATTGCTCATGTTCCACAAGTGGTCTGTATTAAATATTTTAAGATTAATTGTTAGGGCATAATATTTTGTTATGATTGTTGATATGTTAATTGTCTTTTAGATTCCTCAATTAATACGTCCTGAACCTTTGCAAGTAACCACGCAAAAATTTCCTTTAAATGTTCGTCAGTATTACGTGAATATGATGCATGACGTATGCGTGTTAATTTACACAAATTCCGAGGATGCAGCTCAACGTGCAGTCAAAGAAGAATACGCTTGTCACGAAAGATGTAAAGCGCTAGCTGTTTACAAAAATTCATGCATGCTTGCTGCTCATAGATTGAGAAAAGAAGTTGATCAAAATTCATCTGTGGATAATAATGCAACAACAATGCCGGGTAGCAGTACGATGTCTCACGAAGTAATACTTGCTGGGAAAGTTAAAGGTTCCTGGAGTGTTCTTAAGACAAAAAAATCTGTTATGGAATTTAGAGGTGCAATTCTATATACTATGTTAAAAAAATGGATAATGACGGAACAACAACTTCGAGATAACGGATTTCCTCGTCCACATCCCGATGGTCAGAAGGTAAAATATAATAAAATTTAATAAAATTCATTGAATTTATTTATTTTTTAATGTTAAATATTCTTTAAATTCAGGGCCGTGCCAAAGTTTATGTAACCAATTCGCGAAATCAAAGTGTTCTGTCAAAAGTGCCTAACGAAAGAATTTGTAGTCGATGCGGTCAAACTTACATGATCGATAATCAAGGATTTGCTTTACAACCACAGAATTGTATATATCATTGGGGCAGAAAATTCACAATCAGAGGTGAAAGCAAATATAGTTGTTGTCAACAATATGGTTCTGCAACTGGTTGTTGCGATGCAAAAACACACGTTTGGGATTATACAGATTATGAAAATCTTCGTGGCTATGTAAAAACTTTGCCAAAAAGTAATTCTTAAATATTTATTCTCTTTTTATTCCTCTTTTTTCTTTTTCTATATTCAATTATATATATATATATATATATTTATATTTTCTATACCTTTTTTTTTCTATTTCTTCTGTTTTTCATTGTTATTATTCTTGTTATCGTTATCATTGTTAAGATACACCGATCGAAGAACAAGGAGTATATGCGCTTGATTGTGAAATGTGTTATACTACTCAAGGACTGGAACTAACCAGGATAACAGTTATTGACGAGGATTGCAATGTAGTATACGAGACGTTAGTCAATCCGCAAAATCCTATAATAGATTATAACACAAGGTAAAAAAAAAGTATTAAAATTTTTTCTTTCCTCTTCCTCTTTCCCTCTCATCCCTTTTTTCTTTTTTTCCTTTAGATGAAGAAATGTATATATAGTGTGTGTATGCGTGCGTGCGTGCGTGTGTGTATGCGCGCATGTGTGTATTTATTTATTTATTTTTATTCTTTTTCTGAGCAAATAACAATATTATATATATTATCCGTGGAATCGTGTGTGCAGATTTTCTGGTATTACGGAAGAAAATATGAAAAATGTTACAACAACGTTATTAGATGTTCAAGCGACACTGCTGACAATGTTTTCTGAGAAAACTATATTAGTCGGTCATAGTTTAGAAAGCGATTTCAAAGCTTTAAGACTCTTGCATGGAACTGTGGTCGATACAAGCGTGATGTTTCCACATAAAAATGGATATCCACAGAAGAGAGCATTAAAGAATCTTTGCTCGGAATATTTAAGAAAGCTTATTCAAAATGATGGTTAGTTGAAAAATTATTTATTTTCTATTTTTATTGGAAATATATAGTTAATTTTTTTCATGATTTTTTTTATACGTTATAATTTATGATGGAATAAAATCAACTATTCCGATTAATCTTTTAACAATATTAATTTTAACAGTTGGTGGACACGATAGTAAAGAGGATGCCATCGCTTGTATGGAATTAATACTTTGGAAAGCAAAGGAAGAAGCAAAATTACAATAGATGATGTCAGACTGAATCGTGTATAGCTTATGATTTTACGGATTATTAAACGATGATAATCGTTTTCTTTTTTTCTAACTATTGTATGAATTGTATTATAGTTTTTTATGTATAAATGTGATATACATATGTCAGATAAATTGTGGAATCGATTATTATCACAATCATAACTCACCTTTGAATTACATTTACAGTTTTACGATAGTACAAGTTTATTCTTTTGGTCGTATGTAATTCATACTTTTATAAGATTTCGTTATTATTGCGCTTTGATTTTTGAATCGTTCGAAATGTAAATAGAACAATATATGGATGATCTATGTTGTATCTCTTTTCTTAGTTCTCTTCGAAACTATACAAGATGTAAACTTATTTTTGGAGATTAAAAGTCTTGCAATAAACGAACTTGAATATTTTGTACGTGTTCAAATATTTTTTTCTTCGTTAATATTCTTTTAACAAAAATAAAATTATAAAATAAATTAATGTTTTATTAATAAAATAAATATTGAATATTTATAACCGATCATTAAATAAATAAAAGAGAGAATATAAATAGAAATAATAAATAATATGTACACGGATAATAAAAAATATATTTGATTTTTTTTCGATCCAATTTTATTATATAAAACTACATCGATGTTTCATTCAAATGTGCGTTCAATCGTTTTGTACCAACATGGCATCTTGATTTCAATTTTACCATTGAAACACAATCGATCAACAATTTTTTTTACTCGATTCGTTCGATTGAACTAAGACATTTTAGAATGCGTATACTTTGACGTATAACAGGTACCATGACGTGAATAAGCGAGCTTATTTCATTATTTGCATCTATGGTTCGTATATAAATAGCTCGCAGCTACGTTTTGCTGTCATAAACGGACTTTTTTTCTCATTTTAGCACCGTATTGAAAAATAATCATCATTAACTTTTACTTTTTAAATTTACGGTATCCAAGATTATTTTGTCTCCTCTCATTCTCTTTCTCTCTCTCTCTCTCTCTCTCTCTCTCTCTCTCTTCACCTCTTGTATATTATTTTCATCTCTTTTCATTTTCTCGTTCAAATTGCAATTCGAAGAATCGCAATTAGAAATAATTCGAAGGGAAATAATTCATGTTTAAATCATTTATACACATACATACTTACTACCAGTATGTATATGTATCTTATTAGGAAATCTTGAACAGTATATTCGAAATATATTAATGAAACAACGAAGTATCTTCCTTCGAATTGTCTTAAAACGAAACGACGATCGATGAATTTATGTTTATGAGTATGTGTAAAAGGAAGCGTTTATATTTTTCATTCGTGTTGGATAAAAAATAGTTTATCTGTCTCCTTCGAAACAAACATTATTGTCAAGATATACGTATTTATATCCTAATCTTTGGTATTTTGTATTTCTACTGGTTCTTACATTGAATGTTTTTCAAATTTTAGGCATTTTACCGCATTTGCGTATATGTGTAAAAAGAAAAAAAGATAAAGAAGTACGTGTTGCATCGTACGTGTTTCAACATACATAAGTAGCTACATACGTATATATGCATCGACACAATTCTAAAGAGATATCGAATATAATGTCGAATCATTTGTATATACGTATATATGTACGTAGTGAAAATATATTTTAAAATGTCGATAATAGGCTATCTTTGGTGGAAGACTCGCGGAATTATGTGGACTATATTCGCGGGTTGTGTAATTATTATAGCAACATAACAATTTCCAAATATGGAAGCACCCCGATTGACTTTGTCGTGTGATAGAAATTGTGCTAATAAGCGAATAGATATTGCAAATTAAGCGAAAATGTTGAAAAATAGCTTGCTTTGTATGTGTGATTCGATAATAATAATTATCATGATATTCGAAGGCAACTATTCAAGACACGTATATAAATCGTATCAACGTAAAGAATGATATCGAATATTATTTCATATTTGTCGATTATGAGGTGCCTTTTCTTTTTTTATTTCTCTATTCCTAATTATATTTTTCGGAACGATACCGATTCGACATCGATTTGAAAAACTTGTTTATGTTAAGAAATATGAGACATTGCATCAAGATTTTGTATACATTTATGCAGCCAATTTAATCAATAATGAAATTTTTTCGACTTGATATGAAATAAAATAATAAAATAATTATCGTATAGTATAGAAAAAAGATTTTTAACGAAAGAATATTCATATTTAATTAATTATCACGAAAATATAATACAATATAATATATATTTTTATCTTTCCTCTTTGGCAAAAGTACGATTTTGAGATTTTAGCATTGATTTTGAATTCGAATTGCACGTATTGCTTCGTTTTCTTGGAAAGGTATATTATCTTTTTAGATATGCTGACAAAATAATTATTTTTAAATTTTGCTTATGAGAAGAAAGAGAAAATATGGCACCATATATCTATTTATAACGGCGATATATGTATAATAATTATAAAAACTATGACAGCGACAACATTGGCGATAGCAATAACGATAACGATGATAGGATGTTGTTGGAAAAAAAAGAATCGGGGAAATATTTGCAGAATGCAAATATACGTATGTAGATATTTTTTAGGGAGGGATCGTTCGATCGAAATCTTGATCTCCAACAAGATAAAGAAATTGAAAAGCAATCGCTAATAAACTGATGCCTAATAAATCTCCCATCGCTGTTAAATATGGAATCGCCGAATTATCTGGATCGATTTTTCGTTTCCACATCCAATGTATCATTATGTACGCAATGTACAGGAGAGCGGCAACTTGGAGCATGGCGGCGCACAAGTAAACAAAAACGAAGAGAGGCGTTAATGAAGTGTTGCCATCCTTCATATAATTAATTAGATAAATGAAAATTATGTGGCCTGGTATAACCATTGCCATTAGAACTCTGGTTGTTCTCGCGTGCATACCTGGAAGAAAAAGAAATGGAATTAATCGTTGAAAGATAATGGATAAAAAGAAGAAATTGGTGGACTCAAGTGAAATAAATTTTGCTTTTTACCTTTGCCAAAAAAGTTAGCGATAGGTGTAATAAAGATAACGGGATGCGTGTGACCAGGTGGAATTAGAAGAGTTCCCAGTTCGGCTTGTTTGTGAAGGGCTGTCGATATTCTGCTTGCTTGTACAGCTACCAAATTTCCACCGACGCCGTTGATCACCGGTTGGAAAACGGTCAAGTTTTCGAATCGCGAGACCATGAATTCGAGTATCAGACCACCGCAACTGTTTGGTCAACAATAGCGGTCGTTCGTGTTCACTTTTAATATGTACTCGGTTCGTGCCTTCTTTTTATCCGTTCTTTTATTCTCGACATTCGTGAAACGAAATCAAACGAAACGAACAAAACGGAACGGAACGATACGAAATGAAACGGAACGGAACGGAACGAAACGAAACGAAATGGAACGAAACGAAACGAAACGAGACGAAACGAGACGAAACGAGACGAGACGAAACGAGACGAAACGAACGAAACGAACGAAACGAAACGAAACGAAACGAAACGAAACGAAACGAAACGAAACGAAACGAAACGAAATGAAAAGATATACACATATGAATCGGTACTCACCTGCTGATCAACATAGCGATCATGACAGGAGTCCATCCGGAGTAAAGGACATCGTTTGTGTATTTGTTTCTCTTGGCGATCCATACCCAGAGAGGTGTAATCAGGATGTAGCAAGCGATCACGAGGGGTGCGACCCAATCTTGTTTATTTATTGATTCGTAAAGAATCGTAGATATCCACGAGAGTAAAGCCAAAGAGGTGATATCTCCAAGACTGGCTGCGATCGGTGTCGCGACGTTGTCCGGATTAATGTGACAATGTCGGGAGAAAACGATCACACCTGCAGTTATCAATCCAAGGACGAACGAAGCCAGGGATGCGGTAACCAAACTGCTCGCGCACAATAGATATGCATGATCGAACGAGATGGTACCGTTTCGAGATGCTCCCATTACGATTGCCACCACAGAGCCGAGAAATCCAACCACTATCGCCTGGCACTGCCAACACGAACTGATTTTCTTTACACAAACGGTCGTACCGAGCGGAAATAATGATTGAAAATGATAAACGTTCGATCGGAATATAAGGAGAAGGAAAAATCCATGAAAATCCATCGATATCCATTGATACTATGTATCGATATCAGGAATTCGTTGAACTCGACAGATTTTTTTCCGGAAAAATTCTCGATAATAGAAAAAAATTGTAGAATATGCATTTTCGCGATAAGTATCGTCACATCGTATCACATCTCCAGTATTCGATCAGGTAAAAGAGCGCGATGATAAACATCACGTTGATTCTCGAAGGTCGTTTACCGTTCACGCGTTTAATGTGTGTAAGTATGCGTAATCAAATAAAATCGTGACGCCAATGATAAGACATCTGTGAATCGCGTTTTGTCGGTAGAAAGCATCCGATTTGGTGAATAATTTTCACGGCGAGTAACGATAAAAATATGTTGGAGGAAAGAGGGGAGGGAAAAAAAAAAAAAAAAAAAGAAAAAAACGATTTATATATTCACGGATTTAAAAATGAAAGGAAAAAGTAAAAATAGAATTTGAATCCGACTCACTTGAATCAAGACGAGATTTCCAACGATCATGTACCATTGTTGTTTCGGCGTGTCCATATGGCCGAGATTCGCTTGAGTCGAAAGACGGGATGCAAGAGTCATTTCTAAATTTCCTTTCAAACCCAATAACGCTGGGACTAGAATGATGAGTTCGCTCACTTTTTCGAACACGACCCAATGCTGTGAGGAATAAGAATAAGATAAGAAAGTAACGTAAGAATAAGATGTAACGTGGATGGACAATGGTTAATGATACACATAATAGATGTAATATTGATCGAAAGTAAGAAGGAAGAAGAGAGGAAAAATCTGAATTGAACGAAAACGAAGAGAAGAGATTCATACTTGAACTAAGTCTAAAACTAATCCTGCCCCCACCATGCCAAGGCCGGCGATAAGAAACGGTATGAAAACTTGAATGGTGATCGCCAAATACGATTCGAGAGGTTCATCTTCGTTTACACCGTATATTTTACTCTGAGCGACAAGATCGGGAAGACGGCCGCTATCGGTGGTTCCCTCGTCGAATATAGGTACATCGACGCGGTCTTGTTCCGCGGATTTTTCGTTGGGATCGGCGACGGTGTCAACCCCGACAACCGTGTCCATCCATGCGTTCGTGCCCGTTCCTCCCCCCATACCCGTCACCGTCACCGTAGTCGTGCCTGTGCCCAAACTCGTGCCCATGATCGTTGTGTTTACGATCGTTGATTCCGAGCCAGTGGTCGAACGAGCATCCTCCGACGTTATCCTGTGGCAAATTTGCTTTTCGGAAAGTAAAGGTTCTTTGCATTGATCACTGTCGACAGAAAATTAATTATGATTATATTAAAATAAATTATATATCATATAACGAGTATATATATATGTTCGAGTATGCGAATGTTCGTAACTTGGATATTTCGCGATTACCGATAGATATACGTAAAAGTATTTTTAATCTCGTTGCGGAAAAAAACCTAAGAAAATTGTATCTCGATGAATCGTATGAAAAAGCGCGTGCATGCGTGGATTTGAAAATTGAATATGATGAAATAATTATCGTGTAATAATTGTTGAACGTACTTTTCAAATTTGGATGTAACATCGATATGGGCGTTTTTGTCGGGAGGTAATCGTACCGGATGTTGATGCACCTGGTCCTCTATCATCTTCTACTGAGGATCCCGTGCGATTCGCTGCCACCGATATATAGCCATTCTCCTTTGAGAATGATAACGCTTGTCTAAATGTTCGCTCGTTGTAGTTGTATATTTCAGGACAAGAATCGAGCAAATTACGTAACCAACGAGGGACGATATCTCTAGTCTGATTCGCTCCGAACTACATTGTAAGGCTCATCGAAAATTAAAACACATCCATTTTTAATAAACGAACAAGCGTCAAATTTCGAATTTCGATTTCCATGATACTATGATTTATTCGTATCAAATATTTTTCAATCGTTCGATCGTTACCCGTTACTATTCATTTTATTATCTCACTCTTTTTCTTCTTTTTAATCAAAACTGTATCTTCCATAATTTTTCATATTCTGCTTTACGTACATACATATGTCCGTACACTTATTTGTTATTATTAGTCATTAAGCGTTAAAAAAAAAGTTAACGTTTTAAAAAAAAAAAAAAAAAAAAGAAAAAAAGAAAGAAAGAAAAGAACTGATCTTTTTATCGAATCAATTTATATTTCGTTCATGTTATACCACGCAAAAATACGATGGTACGTAAGACGATATTGATCCTCGAGTTTCGATGATTGTTACGTTTCATTTGCGATATTTTTCTTTTCTATTTTTTTTATTTTTTTTTTTTTTAAACGATCTTACTTTTTAAAAAAAAAATCGAGTCGAAAGTAAATGAAAATTGAACGTTAATTATTGCCTTATGCAAATTATCATTTATACGTATTTCCATATAACGTAAAATATAGTTTTTTTTCCGCGATATGATCGCGTTAAATTATAAATCGAAAATTTGTTTTTCATGTTCGATGATGATTTTGAAAAAAAATATAGAAAATAGGAAGGAATAGGAAACGTGTATGTATATTCGTGCAGAAGCGCGCGCGCGAGCGCGCGTGTGTATGAGAGAGATATAGAAAGAGAGAAAGAGAGTGAACAATTTTAACATGTATTTTGCCAATTATAGAATGTCGATTAGCGTCCCTGCCGTTTACATAAAAGATATTAAGATTGAGGAGGGAAAAATTTTTTTTTATAATATAGAAAAAAGTTACCTTTATCTTTGTAAGGGAATCCTCGATGATGTATCGAACCTTGACCAGATTCATAGACCCGAAAAACCTGATTTTCAATATTCTCGAAACTGTGTTGATTCTGATAAAAAAGAAAAATCAACCGTCGTCACGCATTTGGTGGTGTAAGGCTGGTGGCCTGGTGCGAGGCCGTTTCACACTATGGTTACATCGCGACTGATCTCGATCATGCATCACGTTTGTCTCCTTAAAACTCGCTTAGGACTTTTACCGGGAACATACGCTAAACGGAGCAAGCGCGAATTTATCGATCGCCAGTCGACGAAGTAAACCTTGATTGCTCGCCTACCTTACCGTCTGCTTTTCCTCGGCTATCTAACTCTATATCTTTCCGTTTCCTTGCCCATCTAACTATCAATCTATCGCCCGTCTTTCACACCTGTCTTTCTCTCTTAATCTTTTATCTTACTCATTCCTATTATTTATACATTATCTGTTATCTCGTTATTACTCGTTCACGTAACGTATCTATTATTTACGTCTGTCTGATTAATTATTGGATTATTTCTTCGTTTAGCTACGATCTCTTTAAATATCGTATGGCCTCTCTCACCTCTGCCTCGTTATTTCGCTTCATCGATCTTCTTACTAAAGAATCGCTACATCAGTCCATTTTAAATCTAATTTTGTCTTAACATTCGATATTTTGATGTAATTGGTTAAATTAATCATGATCGAATTGAACGAACGGTCTAGTCGGAGATTATCATTTTAAATTGTTCGTTGTTGTAAAAAAAATTGAAAGCATAAATTACCGAAGAAAACGAAACGAATGTTTTTTTTTTTACATTTGACGAAAAATCGAATTTTATAATTTCATTTATACGTTAAATCTTATACGAATCGACATCCATTTATATGCGAAACGTGAAAGTAGTGTGTAGTAGCGATCGGTCGAACGATAATATATTTATTAAAAATTGCTTGTTTCGTATTTATCATTTTATCGTTAATTTTAGCTTTGTTATCTGCATACATTATGCAGAATCTGTGTATACCTGCAATATTTATTTATTATTTACTAATTATATTAATTTAATTATGATAATGTTTATATTTATTATATATATAAGTATTTTCCGCGCGCGCGCATGTGTATTATTATTATATATTTTTATCATACTATGTACTTTTTATCTATATACTTCCTAAAAGATCGATTATGTAAGACCTCTGATAGTCGGTCGTCCGCAAATCGAGCGTTTCACTTTGACATTGAGTTTCGACTCACGAGTATCGCAACTCACCGCGTTATAACTGAATCGAGAGTTTCCTGCACTTTGTGACGCAAAGATTTTTCTCATTCATCGTTTAATCCCAATTATTTATTTCTTCTTTCGATCCACGCTAATAGAACGAATCATTTTTGATACCTGTAATAATTGGCTCTTTGCATCTTATTATGCAATAAATTATATATTATAAATTACTTATATGTATATATACATATATATATTGATCTCAGAAATATATATACATCGCATGCGTATATAAACTAGTAATAATATGAGTAATTAAACGAATAATTGTTGAAAAAGAACTGTCAAATTTGCATAATTTATACGCAAGAATAAACGAAGAATATGAAATTAACTATAATGATATGACTGTTTGATAAATATTTGAATATTCGTACACACGTGTACGTAAAAATAGTAAATAGAAAATAGAATAAATAAGATAGATAGAAATGTGTTATAATTAAATTTTCGATAAAAATTATATCTAAATGGATCTATCTATTGATTATTATTGAAATAATAAAGGACGAGCGTGCAAATGAGCGAATTAGTAATGATTTACGTTGGGAAGAAGATGGGAGAAGAAGAAAATAAAAGAAATAGAAGAGTTGGATTATGATGAGAATATTACTCGCGATTGTTATATTATGTTGTAATATCACGTGGAGGTAAATATACGTACAAGTTTGACGTGTCATTTTTTTCCCGTTGTTTTACACCCGCGATAATATATGTATCTCTTAAAATCTAAACTATCTTGTTGTTAACATCGAGTTTCTACGGATATGCGATACGTGTATGCGAATTAAATTCTTGGGTATGATAAATAATACTCGAGAGATTGTGCAATGCGTATGTATATAAATCGACGATCAAAATGACATTATGAGGAGAGAAAATATTTGAATGAAAAGTAAAATGAGAAGTAAATGTATTAATTGTAAATACGAAATAACGAGTGTGAAAAATAGAAATAATGCACAATAGGAAATCAAACGAGACGTGTGATATTCGTGCATCGGGATTTGCAAACATTGCCGTTTAACGTTAACGGCGCGCGAGTACGAAGCACTTCCGTAACATATTCACAAATTGATAAATTACTCCACGTGTTTAAGTTCGACCATGAGGAGCAATAACTTAACATACGTTTTGATACTTGGTTCCCGTGACCTGCGAACCGTGCTTTCGATCTCGTTTCTTTCATTTATCGTGGAAGGCCAAGAGTCTTTCGTTCCTTTATCCCTATACTCGTTTTTTTGCTATATCTCGTAACAAAGAAGAGGTATAGTTGGTTTGTATTTTATAATTATATTTATGCACGGCGAGATGAAAAAAAAAAAGAGATAAATACATACGAAGAAAAAAGATTTCATGAAGAAAGGATCATTTGCGCGCGATCAGATAAAAATGTTTTTTATAATTCGCGTTTTTTTCGCACACCGTTAAATGCATAATATTTTCTTTCTTTCTTTCTTTCTTTTCTTTTTTTTTTTTCCTATTTTAAATTCAAACTTAACGTATTACAAAGCTCGATAACCGATATAGCAATTTAGCTTTTCTTAAGCTTAATGTTAATTTTTATTCTATATCTTGGTTTTTCTTTTTTTTTTCCATTTCATAATAATTGATGATAGTAATAAATGAAGAATAAAGAATGGACTATGATATATTATGATATATATATATGTATGATATACATATATATATATCATACGTATACACACACACACATATATGTATGCAATGTACAAATATAAAAACAACGAAACGCAAAAGAATAACACGGAGATGTGAAACACCGAACGAAGATAGACGAAGATAGATTCGATTTATTTTGTCGATCGATCCATTTGTTGGAATATGTATTTAACGCGATTAAAAAAAAACGTAGAAACGGGATATTATATTTTGATAAATGATAACAACCGACCCAAGATTCGCGACACTTTCTCCCTTTATTCTTGACTACATCCAAGCTACCGCGATGGATGTAGAGAGGTCGGTATAAGAACTGTTTTAAAAAATGACTCGATCGAGCAACGCGATAGATAAAATGTAAAAGGCTCCACCGAGAACGAGGCGATAGTTGGCACTGACAGATCTAACTATTTCATTGACGGAGACAGGCTGATGTCCCTCTCGACCACAACTTGGTCGTTTCGCGTTTGTACATTATACATGTACGAATCGTTGACTGATGTTGATGTGCACGTGCAAGCATCACGATATATATTCGTTGAACGCACACGCTCAGATCTGCCTCGTTTATGCGATTACGCTTACAAACCTTTAAGCCCTATTCGTAACTCGATCGTACAATATCGTACGAAAGAAAAACACCGCGCATTCTCTATCTCTTCAATCTCATTCTCTCTCTCTCTCTCTCTCTCTCTCTCTCTCTATATATATATATATATATATATATATATTTATAAAACTTTTATTTCGTTATAATATTCTTTTTTTCTTTTCTTCTATTATTCTATCTTCTATTCTTATTCTGCATCATGTTTCTCATTTATACCTTTTAAATTAACTCGAATTCGTTGTATATGCATAATAAAAAAGAATATTTAAAAATTTAACGATACAACGTATACGTATGTATCTATAAGTCGAATTTATTTCGATTCGCATAAGTACATTATTTGGTACAAAATATTTGAGCATGTTTCGTTATATACGATATGCGGGACATGTATTCGCTTCAAATTTAACAATTCAAATGAATACTATATTCGTTATTATATATTTTTTTGTACGCACATGGATATTTAAAAATTATATATATAAACTTCACCGATTATATTGCAAATTATAATATTTGATCGATATTGAAACAATTTTAAAATTTGTTTCAAAATCTTATAATTACTTTACATCGTTATCGCTATCTATTTTTCTTTAGTTTTGCATTTTTCAAACCGATATGTACACACATACACGCACGCACGCACGCACGCACGCACGCACGCACGCACGCACGTACGCGCGCACGCATGCACGCAAGACTGTACAATAGAAAATACCGAAGAAAAACGAGAAAAACATTGTAAGGATGTAACGTTGAAGAAAACGGAAAGAAAAAAAAAAGAAAAAGAAAAAGAAAAAGGAAAAAAAAAGTGAATAATATCGATTCGTTTCAAAAATGTAATTTACAAGGATAGAAATAGCACGAAATATCTCGATATTTGATCAAATATCGCGCAATATAGTATCAATGAATAACGTTATGCTCGTTGTTCTTTTTTTTTTCTGTACATATTCGTTCTAACTTTAGACTTAAAGTCCCATCAGTCTCCAACATCAGAATCTCCATCTCCAATTGCGTAAAGCAAGTGAAACGCGATTCCTAATAGAGCTGTTCCTATCAAATCACCCGCTGCAGTTAGATATGGTATGGCAGAACTATCTGGATCCATTCCTCGTCTCCACATCCATACGACCATTAATTGTGTGATATATAACAATAATATTACCTATCAATCAAATCAAATCAAAAATGCAACTTTCTAATCGTCTGCCAATCATTTGTTTTATATCTATTGTATGTATGATATGGATTGGAATTAGGTACATGTACCTGTACTAAAGCGGCGCTTAAATAAACAATAAGAAATATAAGTGTAAAAGAAGTATGACCAGCTTGAAGATAACTGATGGTGTAGCCAAATATTAAATGGCCTGGTATCACCATTGTTAATAAAACTCTAGCAGTTCTTGCATGCCCGCCTATAACGTAATCGTATTGTAGATACGAACACAAACACACGTTTGTTTCAATTTTATCATTGATCTACGTACCTTTTGCACAAAAAATATGGAATGGATTGAAACGGACGATAAGTATTTCTTGATTATTGGATCGTCGGCCATCTTTATGTAAAGACGTTGATATTCTACTAGCTTGAACAGCGGCCAAATTACCGCCAACACCGTTTATTACTAGTTGAAATACTGCTACACCTTTGTAATTGGATACGGTGTAATCTAATATTAAACCACCCACGCTAAAATTCATGTTAAATAACGATAATGCGATATTTTTTTAAAATTATATAAATTTTATAAAAATTATAAAAAATATATATATATATATATATATAAGATATATACTTTCAAAATGAAAAACATGGAAATACCTACCTACTAATTAACATTGCACATATTACAGGCGCCCAGCCATAATCTAATATTTCTCTGGTAAATGGATTTCTAGCTGCGATATAATACCAAATTGGTGTGACGATAATGTGAAATGTTATCAACACAGGTGCTATCCATGGTGCATATTCTGAAATAACGTTATAAAATATTTGACTAATGGAAATTAATGGAAACTAATTTTCAAGTGATAATTTACTTACGTTGCATATATTTATTGCTTGCATATATATTTACCTGATGCTCTATAAAGAAGAGATGCTATTCCTGAAAGAAGCATTAAAGTGGTTAAATCACCGAGAGAAGCTGCAATTGGCGTGGCTATATTATCTGGATCGATGTTTATCTGTTTGGACAATAATATAACTGCGACCATCACCAAACTTAATAAAAAACTTGCTATAGATGCAGTAACTAAGGCACTGGCACATAATAGAAATGCATGATAAATATCGAATTGCGCTTCTGGAATCCAACCGAGTATTATAGCAGCCAAAGAAGCCAGTAAGCCTACTACAGTTGCTTGACATTGTATCAAAGCAAGATTTCCAACGATCAAAGCCCATTGCTGTTTCCTTGTATCCATGTGTCCAAGATTTACATGGGTCGAAAATCGAGAGGCTAATGTCATTTCTAAGTTTCCTTTTAAGCCAAGCAATGCTGGTACTAATATGTAAACTTCAGATACCGTTTGATATACAGGCCAATGCTACAAAAAAGAAGAGATAATTAAATATGATTTCGATATATGCATATTATATGTATTTCTATTAAATTGAACATATCTGTACAACATTACCTGTACAACATCCAGCAACATACTGGCTGCTACCATGCCGAAGCCAGCTAACAAAAAAGGCACGAACATTTGTATAGACATAAACCAAACATTTTCATCTTCAAATTGTCTAAATTGATTGTCTCGGGTAACCGATTTTTTTGCGTTATCGTTTATACATCGATGATCAATCGAAGATGGTATAAGTCGTTGTTTATGTTCTTCCTCGCTTTCCGTTTCTTCGTCAGTTTTTATTTCCATTTCCATAATAATATCGGATACATTCGATCGAAGCGATTCATCACTATCCAAACCCACCATTTCGTTCATGTAAAATTTCTTTTCTGATTTTCTGTGCCTTATATTTAATAAATTATTTCCGTATACTTTCATTCCTATATTAGCATGGTTCATTCTTGTTAAATCGCTTTCCAAACCGTACTATCGAGAACTGTAACGAAAAAATGATTATGCTGCTATTCTTTTAAACTTAAAAATCAAAAACTTGTATCTTAATGTGAATGTAACTTTTGTAATTGATATCTAATTATCGAGCATTATATATTATTATTATTATTATTATTGTGTTGTTGTTGTTGTTGTTGTTATTGTTGATTTTGTTATCATGATCATGATGATCATCGTCGTTGACTATTCATCCATTCTTATTATCAAATATCCTTATATATATATATAGTCATCTTTATCAATATCCTTATAGTTTTCATCATTTATATCTCTATTCTTCATTTTTTTGTGCTCGTTCTATTATTATCATCGTCATCGTCGTTGCCTTCGCCATCATCATCATCATCATCATCATTATCATCATCATCATCATCATCATCATCATCATCATCACCATCATTAACATTATCATCATTATCATCATCATCATCATCATCATCATCATCATCATCATCATCATCGTCGTCGTTGTCGTCGTCGTCGTTGTCGTTCTCATTGTCATCATTATCATCATCATCATCACCGTTAGCATTAATATTATTACATTGTTCGATCGATTCTATGTTTGATATTCTTTTTCTTTTTACGATACGATTAAAAATAATCATTATATATTAATAAAAATCTTTTTCCACTTATATACAATTTATTTTGGAATTTTAAAATAAAACTGTATAAAACTGTTAAACGAAAATAATATTGTACGCGAAAAATGAAATGAAATTATAGTAAAAAGAAAAGTATTTGAATGTACGAATGTACGAATTTATTTTAGAAGTATTTTTTTTTTTTTTTTTTTTTTCGTATTTCATACGTTGTAATTAGATTAAGCGTGTATCAATTATTATTTAAAAATGATTTGAATGTTTTCAATTATAATCCATTTGAGATGAAGCTTTATCAAACGCTTTATCTGTCCTATAATTAATTATTTTATAATCTTAATCGAATCGAAAGTTGGAAGAAAACAATTTATAGTTTATAGTGAAAGGATAAAAATGTAAAACAACGTTGGTGAGGTGACGAGGTGAGGTTAACGATACAATAACAAATTAATTGTCGGATATGAATAAAAAAAAAATACCGTAAGAATCAAAATACGATTGAATATGAAAATAATTAAAACTTCGTTTAACGATACGTTTAGATATTTATATAGATATAAGTGATATTTAATGATATAAAAGTGTAATTAATAATATATAGAAATTCATTATCGTTAAAAACGATCTGAATATAAGAAAATTGTGAATTCGAATACAATCTTTTCTAATAATATTTTATTACGAAAAAAGAATGTAGTATCGTAAAGAAAATTTTATTAAAATGATGATATTGCGGATTAAAATATTATATTTGTAAGCAAAAGAGATATTCCCATTGTAATCGCGTAACTTAATATTTTTAATTTTACATACGAGATATTTAATTAATCGATATGAATAATTTGGCTGTTTGTAGCGTTTTTATAAATAAACTTTTGGCAACGATGCGAAAAAAATATATTGCCAAAGTGACGATACTTGAACGCGAAAACATAACCTCGATACCGTATAACCTACCTTGAACGTAGAATACGGCTCCATATTTGTTCGTCGTTCAACCACGTGGAGGCGTTCTCACTGTCAGTCAACAGATGAAAAACTATGAAAAATTATATATAATAAAAAATTGATATATTACGAAACATGATTACAGAAAATTTTTGATTATATTTATTTGACGTAATATTTCGTAGCACATACGTGGTATAAAATGATATCTATGTCGACAGGTTCAAACATGAAAAGTTCAAAATTGGAATTTCGGAATTTGAAAAAATCGCAAAATCAGAATATCAGAAATACGAGATCATATACGTATAAGAAAATAGAAAAGTTGTAACAATAATAACAATAATAATAATAATAATAATAATAATAGATTTATTTATATAGATTTAACAAATTATGCATATATATGGTACAAATGTATAAAAAAAGAAAGGAATTTACTTTATCGATAATCTTCCATTTTTACACAGAAGAAAGATTTTTTTTTTTTTTTTTTTTTTTGAATTGAAATAAAAATTGATACATGTACATATTAGAATTAATATTTCAACGATTATATATATATATATATATATATATATCGATAGTTGTTTTATGTGTTTGTAATTTTGTCATTCAATATTCATATAAATAAAATCAAAATAACTTTAAAAAAAATTTTTTGAACTTTAAAACTTTTTTTTTTTCTTAATTAATATTAATACGTATCTTAAAAATAAACGTACAATGCATATGTATAAAGTTAAAAAAAAGAAGTTGGTAAAAAAATAGAAATAATATTACAAAGACAGACGAAAAATAATATTTTTTTTTACTTATTTTTCTTATATGTTCATGAGGAGGATGTCACAGTTTTTTATTGTAAAAAGAAGAGAAAATAAAATAAAATATGAAATAAAAAGAAAAAAAGGAGACAAAACAGAAATAGAAAGTTTAATTTATATAAAATATGATGTAAAAATGTTGATTTTTAGGAGGAAAATTTAAACAAAATTTCTTCGAAAGAAGAAATAAGAGAGAGATTTATGTTAATAAATGCATGCATGCAATTGTAATCAATTTAGATATGTTACCCCGGGAACAGAGGGTATATATTCAAGGAACGACGCTCGAAATACTACTACTTTTATCCGGGCACCGGGCATAGTGCCCACAAGTAAGCTCTGTCTTTTCGACAATACACGTATCTTGCGAGATTTCGGCTATTGTAATTCGATTATACATTTCTGTTCATTTTTTGTTACTTATATTCGATAATATTTTAAATAAGATCGGATAATTATTTTCATTCGTAATTCGTAACGAAATTCGTCGTAAAGAAATATAAAATATTTATTATTATTCAATAATTGCTGTGATATCAAGATTAAGTGTAACGTTGCAAGGTAAGTTTCCCACAAAAAATCCACAATCGTGATAAATTTTTAATAATAAAGTTTAAATTGTTGGTTTAAACGATAATTATTATCATCAATTTTTTCTTTTCTCTTTATCTCTATATCTCTCTTTTTCTTTTTTTTTTTCGCATTTGTTTCCTAGGGTTTGGTAACTAAAATAAGATTAAATTTAACAGATATGCATGGTTGATCGATAAAGATTGGTCAAAAATATCAAATCGTCGGGTTTTTTTTTAAATTTTTTATTCAAAATTACGTAGAGAGAGAGAGAGAGAGAGAGAGAGAGAGAGAGAGAGAGACGTAAAAATAAAAAGCACGATTGAACGCAATACCGATAAAATTCGAACAAGGAGATGATAGCGATGGTAGTGGTGATGACGATTCAAAACGATCGATATCGATAAAAAAAACTTTTAGATGGGGCGCAAAAAGCATCATCGAAGGAAAGGAAATAATTTATCGTTATCGAGAAGATCGAAATGCGATAATCTCGATTGCGTTGACGACGGAGAGAAAGCGATGGAGGAGAAGGAGAGAAAGGGGGAGAAAGATGGAAGAAGCGAAGGGGATAAATTTTCGAGGAGAGAAAAGAGAGGGGACGTGGAGGAGGCGTCGAACGTGCCGATCGATGCACGTTCCCGATCGATGAGGGCATTTTTACGGGACGACGACGACGTTTCGTCGACGTTTCGGCGGGAATCGAGCGAGGATGAGAACGAGGAAGAGGAAGAGGAAGAGGAAGAGAGAGTCGAGTTGAACGTGAGACCGCGATTCGTATTCGTATCGAGCCTTTGCGCTGTATGTATGCATAGATCGAAATTACTTTGCGAGCGTTGCCGAATGGTATCTTATTGCTCGACCGCTCATCGAGCGCAAGGATCTACGAAGCATCGCGAGTTGTGCGAACCGTTGAACGAGATTCGTTCATCGATGGTATCGATGCTCTCCTCCGATAAGTCGGGGAGCGCGCGACTCGATCCGGAACAGTATCGCGTTTATCGATTAAAATTGATCGCGTCCCTCGAATCGAAGATCGGAAGACGATTGGAACTTTGGGAGAGGGAGATTATCCTATATCCGAGAGTTTGTCGGAGTTGCCGTTGCTTCAGCGAGAAATCGACTTGTTGCTCTCGTTGCGGAATGGAATATTTTTGCGAGGAACACGGCGAGGGACACGAAAATTGGTGCGCGCAGTTTCAAATTTTGCAAAGGGTTTTACTTTTCCAGCATAGATACGGTTGGGTCGATCCGAAAATTCCCAACGAATTTCGCCAAATATCCGTAACGCGATCCAATCTCGATCTCGACCACTTATTATTCGAGATATACGGAAATTGCCCGTATTATCGAAACATGGATACTTACACGTACTCGACGTTATCCCAATTGTGCACGATTCCATTGACGGCTCTTTATTCCACGCAAACTTGTTGCCCCGAATGGGGGAATAAAATCGAATGGACGATTCATCTGGTCGGCGCGGAATTTCAATTCGAAGGTATAAATTTACGCGTTTGGGAAAAATTGTTCCTTCATTTTTTACCAAATTTAAAGAGGCTCCGTTTGATCTTGATCGGTCCGGAATTACGATTGCCGAGTGGCGTGCCACCGAGACTTTTATCCACGGTTCGATTGTGCAAGAAGTGTAAATCCACCGGTAGAGCCGTTAACGTTACGTTTAAACCCGAGATGCTTTATCACGACGCGGTTGAACGTCTCGCTGCGCCCGATCTAATTTGTATTTACAATCCTGGCCTCTACCGAAAAACCGGGTTCGGGGGGAAGGATAGCTGGTTCGAAACGATACGCGAGTTTTGCAAAGCATCGGTCCCCGTTGCCGTTACCTCTTACACGAAGCACGAAATCCTATGGGAGATAGCTCGTATAAGTTCCGTCGCGGATGTACAAGTCGTGTTACAACCGCGTCAAAATCCATTTGCGTCGGTGAAACCGGATCGAAATTTTGTCAGCGACGATACCGATCCTCTTATCTACAAGAATTACTATCTCACCATTGTAAAAGGTAAATCGACCAACGATCGCTCGTAGCAGGTCGAAAGCATTCTTTATTTCCATTCTTTATTTCGAATGAAACGTCATCGAAAACTTTGCTTCGTTTCGACGTGTCGCGAGAACATTTCGACTCTGTAACGTGCGTAATAAACGTTGGTAATACGATTCGAGGATTCGTACTTCAACCTCCAAACGTTCGAAACGATTTGTTGCTATTGCGTTCTCTTATTATCTACCGCACCGTGTCGCTCGATTCGACGCTTCGTGTTTCCTCGAATTTCTATGTATAGGCGAGAATTATTACACAAGTAATATTTGCAACGTGTGAAAAGACCGATTATAATTATATAAACCATTCGTTTTGTTTTGGTTAAGATACATACAAATCGCAAGAGTGAATATTAAATTATACAATTAGAGGTTATACAGTTATTACGAGCTAGTTTGCGTATACATATCTATATCACAGACGAAACTGCATTAATATATGTTCCGATATGTTGGAATGATGGAACGCTTGTAAACGCATTATATCTAGATACTTACGCAGCTTATGCGTGTACGTATACCGATGCAATATATAATTCGACTAAATATACGTATAATAAATATACGTACAATAAATTGTACCTAACAAATAAAACATAATTCGAAACGTGAAAATTATGTACATAATTAAGGGATAAGGTGTATCGTCCATCGCGTTTCAGATCATAACATACGATTAATTTACTTAATGTACTCACGTGTCTCTTTGCTTGTTTTTGTACTGTTTTCAAAGTCGAAGGAAGAAGAGGGAAAAGTAGAAGAAAAAGAAGAAGAAAAAGAAGAAGAAAAAAGAAGAAGAAAAAAAAGACGAAAAGCGGAATAGAAAGACTCGAGCGTATGCACCGTGTAATTTAACATTATACGTAGGTATAAATTATAATTGAGTAAGTATGCGAAAGTGTACGATTAATGAGAAGAAAAATAGTATTGGAGATGCGAATTAATTATACTATGTAATGTCCTCGATGCATAGAATCAATAGCGATTGACCACTGTTGAGAGAAGCAGCAACATCAAGAGAGATACAATGGATGAATTGGTATTACGATTCACCGAGTTGGCCAGTTGGTAGAAGTAACGATTGTAAACGTTGTCACAATGGGAAGGCCAGTCTTTGAAGCACGCCGCATACGCCACTACGTGAGCGATATAATTTTGTTCAAACGTACCGCGAATCAAGTGGGAATACGGACCTAGGAAAAAATCGAAATGTTACCGATCGAAGGTACATCTTTGAATAGAATAATCTGGAATATGTACGTATGAATGAAACGAGACTATCTTGGAAATTTTTATGCGAATGTGTGAATATTTATACTCGAATGTACGGATGTAATTATACTGTATATATCTATATAGACAGATAAAAAAAAAAAAAAAAAGAAATAAAAGAGAGGATAATAATCGATTACCTATCGCGTAAACTCCTACATCTTCGCCTCCGTGTGTCTCGTCCTCCAAATATATACCAGCCATTTGAGTATAATATGGATCGTCGCGTGTCTGATCCTGATCGACGAGCCTCCACGTTTCGTTAACGTTGTTACTATCGTTTCGTCGATGGTAAAAGAAGCCTGGACCGTTGATGTAACTGAGCGTCTCGTAAGCCGGCACGTTCGGTTTGGACGGATCATTGGCGAAACCGAGGATATCGTTTCCCCTCTTCGGATAACCGTTAATGGTGAACGCGTGGGAATGATCGGCAGTTACGATCACCAATGTTTCTTCCAATTTGACCAGTTGAAGAGCGGTCAGTATCGCCTCCTCGAGTTCCGATAATTCTCGCAACGCCAACTTTGCGTAATTATGATGATGGGCCATGTCTATTCTCCCGCTCTCGACCTGGAACCGCGATATACTACTATCGCAATTTTTTCAATATAGATAGACGATGGAAAGAAAAAGGGGAAAGAATTGATGAGAAAGAATTTTGAACGAGTTCAAACTTACCATTAAAAGGAAACCGTTGTCGTTTTTCCGAAGCAATTTGATGGCTTGTTTGGTCATATTGGCCAAACTCGGCGTTTCTTCGGTTTTGACGGCGTGGTAGGGAAGGTGATTAGTAGCGAAAATTCCAAGAATTTTCGACGTGTTGGCGATATCGACGGAGAGAAGTTGTTCGGTGTTGGTTACTACTCTCCCGTCAGGGTTATTTCCCTCCCAGTATTCCACCAAATTTTTCCCATCTCCCCTGACGCACGTATCTGGATCTATCGGTTCCATCGGTAAACCTAAGAGTTGCGCTCCACCGCCCATGATCACCTATTGTTTTTAATCGTCCAACGATTTGAAATGCCAACGTTTCGTTCGAAGGATCAAAGATGCAAAGATAGAAACGTAGCAATTGACTACTTACCTTAAACTTGTTTCCCGGCTCATCCTCCATCAATTGTCTTCCTATATCCTTCACGCAATCTGTGTATTGTTTCGGTATCGAGGTATCGCATTCCCAATCCCGATTATTCACGTGAGCGTACAATCCTGCCGGAGTGGCATGGGTGACCCGAGTCGTGGTTACGAATCCTATATTTCAATCGTCGACGATTCAATTTTTGGATAAATAATAATATTTTTCGAAATAAGATGTGTTTATTTCGCGTAAACGATATTATAAAGCGAAAAGAGGGGGAAAAAGAAGAAGGGAAAAAAAAAAAAAAAGAGGTATATATGGCGACCTAGATAAAACGGAAGGTCGTCTCGCAATCGTTCCTCTGCCGTGTCGTTTTTTCTGCTCGTCCCCGGCAAGGTCTATCCGACGTTTAACGTTTAACACCGGTAGTCGACCGTGAGTCGATCGTTGCTGCCACCGAGTCACGTTTGCGCGCGTGCTGCTTTTATCTTTAAACGTATCGATCGTTCGCGATTCGGCGGTTACTCGTGCAGTTATTTACTTTTTTACTTTTCTTCCTTCCAAACGATCGCTTACCCGTGTCCATGCCACTTTGTTGAGCCCAATCCGCGACGGTTGTAAGTTTGCTCGCTTGATCGACCCGCTTGTCGCATTGATTGAACGAAGATCTCGTGTCCAATCCGATAACCTTGTAACGACATTTCACGCCGGAAAATATCGCGGTAGCTGTTCCAGCCGAATCGGGAACTTGCTTGTCCGTGTTGTAAGTCTGTAAGAAAAAAGAAGGAGAAGAAGAGGAGGAAGAAGGAAGCGAGAAAAATTTGTCAAATATTTTACGAATCTCGATAAACGAGATCGAAATTGATTCGATGTATATGTGTGTATATATATATATATATATATATAGTAGATGTAAACGCATACGGTACGATACCTTGGCGAATCCAGCGTTGGGAAACATTTCGAATGCCAATTTATATTCTTCACCGGTATTACCCTTGATTTGGCCTTTGTAGATTCGACCTGCCGTGATCGTAGAAATTCCCATCCCGTCGCCAATGAAAATAATAATATTCTTCGCGCGATTTTCGTTATTTCGATGAGTTAGGATTCTTCGAAGATTCTCTTGGCCGGATTTTAGCCAATAGGACATATCTACGAATCGTTTCGATCAGAAAGAAAAACGAAAGAAAGAGAGAGAGAAAGAGAGAGAATCAAACTCGCAAATGGTTAAAAGAAAGAAGCAATGATACCTTCGTAATCGGTCGCGTTTCGAGGTAGAGGGTTGACGAATCCCATTAGAGAACAGATTAATAATAAGAGCACTCGCTTCATGTTCGTGGAACGTGTAAATCTGTAACAAATCGTATATATCGTATCGCTAATCTCGCTTCTTCGATGATGCAAAGTGTCGTAAAAATGTTATCTCTTATATCAGCACATATGTATGTAAGGTATGTTGAAATAGCGACGAAAAAAGAGGAGAAACAAAAGAAAAGGTGATGATATTTCGATACGAGTTATATGCTACTCTTTTATCGCGCGATTTATTTAATTAAAAGGTAAAATGGAGATTTATGACGATTCAATGGAAAGGAGAGACGATGACATTCGGTCCAACTGTACGATGAATTTTTTCGATAATCGATCACTGCCCATAATATACGTGTATGCATACGTATATATTTATATGCACGGTAAGTAGCCATTGTAAGTAGATTATAGCTATTCTTCGTTCGTTCGTTCTTTGTAATTTAAGGTTTCTTTGATTCGCGCGTTCGCCGATTGGATAATGGCGGGTTGGAAAGGAAATATAAAAAGCGACGTTGAAACGTTTACTCTCGGATTACGCGTGTTGGCGCGTGTCGAACAGGTTGATAGAAATGGAAGGGATACGAGAACGAGCGACAAACGAGCGATGAAAAGGGGAAACGTTAATATTCGGGTCAGTCAGCGGGACGAGTTGCGATACTCTATCCTAGAGTCGGTTGCAAGGCTATTGTATAGGGTGCACGAGTGATATAATCGTTCGTAATACTCGAATGCGAGTGTAATATAGAATCGCATCGACCAAGGATAGTCGTGGTAAAAATGGTACACACGAGCAGGTAAGTAGCAATTTATTCGTGCAACGAATGGTAATGTGACACTGGTGAAAATTACCTAATTTAAATAATGCGCAAGTGGATCACCGAGAAAAAGCGCGTATTCCCTCTGTTCCGTATTAAATGCGTAAAGTAGATTTTATTCGTATAGATCTCACGACGTGGTGTATCGAATCATCCTTGGATCGGTTGACGCGGAAACAGAAGAGGAGTATCGATCGGTGAGTCGGTCGGTCGGTCGGTCGGTCGGTCGTACGGTCGGTCGCGTGGCACGATTCGTCCTCGCCCTTGGAGAAGATGATGGGATCCGGGGTGGTCGTTCGATCCGAGATGGTAAAAAAAAGTTAAAAAATCGTTATCGTCGTCCGATTCGATATTACCCGAGCGAGACGCGATACCGTATTAACGCCAATACAGCGCAACCAAGCAAGTTTGTCACTTTATATAGCGTTTCAAAGGCCCTGGTAGATTGTGTACACGAGGTGGAGAGCGTGCAAGGGACACTGAGAGTACAGATTCTCGAGGAGAGACGTGGTTTGGGGAGAAGGGGAACCCCTCGTGTACCGCTAATCCGAGCGTAATTGAACAGCTCGCTGCCATTATGTCTTACGTCCGCAAAAGATTAATACGAACGCGAATCTCCAACCGTGATCTTGCAACTTCCATTTTCCCTTCTTCTCCTTTACCCTTTCTTCCATTCCTTTACTACCCCTCCCCTCCCCCATATCTCTCTCTCTCTCTCTCTCTCTCTCTCTCTCTCTCTCTCTCTCTTCCGATAATCTTCCGATAAATCGTTTCGAAACGAAACACCGCGTCCCGTATCGCTCCCCCCGATTATACTTGTCCTCGCTAAAATTCGTATCCGTGAACGGCTCGCAACGTCAACCATCCGATCGATCTTTATCATCGATGATTGAGAATCTCGCGAGATCTCGTTGAGAAAAGGAAAGAGAATGAAAAAAAAAAAAAAAAAAAAAAAAAAATTGGAAAGATTTCAATCGTGATAAAGATCAAGGCCAAACGACGATACGTTATAGCGACATCCGCTTCTTCTTCTTCTTTTTTTTTTTTTTTTTTTTTTTTCCCCCTATTGTTTTTATCGCTCGAGTTTTGCAATATCGCACGGTCGGATTCGAGTTCGGGAAAACGAAGCGAGCACGAGATCGATGCGTTCGAGCACGAGTGTCGCGCGTCGAAAACAATGTAACGGTGACGTAACGGCGAGAAAGCTCGATCGACCAATCAACCGTTTAAAATTGTCTCGAGCCTCGAGAGGTGAGACAAAAGCTTGACTCTTTATTGGTTCGAGATACGAGCGCGCATGTTCGTTCCACGTTCTCGGTTCCCACGTTCTGTGCACGTGGCGAGCGAAGAAGAATAAGTAATTTTGAAATTTCTTGCGCCTAACGCGTGATCGCGTTCACGTTTCACCGATATAAAATTATGATCATTGCCTGATAATGATAATCACGAATACGATCATCTTCGATATCCGTCCTCTTTCTTCTTTTATCAAATTTCACTCGACCGATCGTATTCCCTTTTCCTCGCCCACGTTTTCTTCTTTTCTTCTCTTCATCTCCATCTCCTTTTCACCACTCTTTCCCTTTCCCTCTTCTCTCGCTCGGATATCATTTTATCGCGCGTATTAACAACGAGACGCGATTTAACGATTTACCACGGTATCGAAAAATGTGCTTTTTCGAAACGTTAAGATAACGTTATTATTATAATCCTATATAACGACAATTATCTCTTTTTCTTTCTTTCTTCTTTTTTTCCTCTTATTTCGATGGCCGGAAAATTTAACACTTGTGGAATTCTTACATCGATATTTCGGAAAATAAAGATGGAACGACTTTTTCCCGATTCGTACGTAATTCTTTCCTCTTCTTTTTCTCTTACTTCGGATTTAACACTTGTGGAATTCTTATATCGATATTTCGGAAAATAAAAATTCATAGAACGATTTTTTCTCGTTTCGTACCTAATTCTTTCCTCTTCTTTTTCTCTTACTTCGGATTTAACACTTGCGGAATTCTTATATCGATATTTCGGAAAATAAAAATTCATAGAACGATTTTTTCTCGATTCGTACGTAATTCTTTCCTCTTCTTTTTCTCTTACTTCGGATTTAACACTTGTGGAATTCTTATATCGATATTTCGGAAAATAAAAATTCATAGAACGACTTTTTCTCGATTATAATTCGTACATTATAAACGTATTAAAGATTCGATATTTTATCGCTTCTTGTATCTTTCGGGGAAATAAGAATACGAACCTTGAAAATAAATAAAATTTTATTATTTCCTTTACGATCCGCAAGAGAGTTTAAACGAGATCTATGCAACCTTGTGTCGTTTGAAATAGTCGGCAAAAATCATTTATTTACAAAAATTTATGTTTTTATCTATTTTTCAACGATCGTAAAATCGTAATGAGATTAAATTAAGGACAACGTATATATATCTATAACGAAGTACACGCTTATTTTTTTTAACGATATATTCTAAATCGTTTCATTTATGATAAAAATATACTGTGTGCATCATATCCAAGCGATGTACCGTCGATTATACGAATGTACAACGGTATTCATGATGTAATCCTAAAGATTACTAAATTATACAATTATTATTAAATATTTAATAGAATCGATTATCCAATTACAAAAAGATGAAAACGATCCTATCGTACATGATTCTATAAATAAATAATTTCTCATGCATCATGATACAAGGCATTTTAAAAAATAGCTGAAAAGAAGCAACAAATCTTTTTTATTATTTATTTACTTACTTACTTACGATTAGTTTGTAAAAGTTTGCATTTTTGTTCGATCCTTGTTTACGAATATCCATCCGTTTATCCATCCGTATCATTTTATTTAGCTCACGGCTCGCAGTTCGGAAGGATCAATTTGAAACGATTTGATCGATCTGTAACAACGATAATCTCGACCAATTTTAAATTTTAAGGAAAAGAAAGACGAAAGTTGTTGCAAGAGTATTCGAGATAATGAAAAAATTATGTTCGATTGGCTGGAAATGATAATTTCTTGATTGTTTCGTAATCTTACCACGAGATATAATCGTATAATGTCCACGAGATATCCACGAGCAATCCATAACGGAACAGTCCTAAATGGTGTTCTTTTGATTTTTTCAACATTTTTCTAAATTCTTACCATTCTCGAGTTTAATCGCGTAATTCTACGCGCACACCTCTCTTCTATCGACCAAATTACAATTTTTATTCTTGGTTTCTTTTACTTTTGTTTTTCGAACACGAGCATTTCGAATAAATTTTCTTTAAGTCTTTTATCATTGCGCATTCAAGCGTGCACGTTCAGGTACACGTCAAATTATTCTTTTCAATTCCTTCGATTCGTGTAATTTTATAGACGCGTATTTATCTAGAACAAACGAAGCGGATTTTAGAAATTCTTATATTCGTTGTAAAAAGAGAAAGAAGAAGAAGAAGAAGCGAAGAAAAAGGGAGAGAGAGAGAAAGAGAGAGAAAAAGAGAAAGAGGAAGAAAAAAAGTAAAGACGAAATGTAAAATAAACGATTAAACGGTCTTTCTGTAACATTTCTTTATATATTCTATAGTTTCTCGCGATCACCGCTTAGAATTATCGCGATTCCATTCTAGAGCGGTTCTCGCGGATAACAGTGAGCGAGAATAATACGTATTAACGAGGTAAGACGCAATTGTTACATAGGTATTAAAATACAATGATCACAGAGCGACGGAAACGATAGTTCGATATTCGCGTGCGCGATATGTCTCTGTTTATATCTATAAAAATGTACAGATTATTTTTCGACAGCGCAAATTACTGGTTGTTTCCATCGCAAAATACTTTAGGAAATATATATATATATATATATATACATATTATACACATATACATATATTGTATACATATGTATATATATATATATATATATATATTGATTCGCAGATTTTTATCCTCTTTATGTACATTGACCATTTTTCGCAAAATCCCTACTTTCTATATATCGTTTGCACCATTTGTTTTTAAATTTCGTTTCGAATCGATTGTTGCTTAAAATTATTCGATCATTTTTCTTAGATCTAGATATAGTAAATTTTAATTGGCACATATTCACCATTATGAATAGATATATGTATATGTATGTCTTTTCACATCGGAAGTTTTTGTATAAAAATATCATTGAAATTATCCGCTCGAATCAAACGTCATAGGATCAAATTATTATTCGATTCGAATTGTTATTATCATTTATCGAGATGAACCGACGTTTGAAACGATGTTCGCATCTTTGCATCTTCGCGAGAAGAGACGGAAAGAGAGAAAGAGAAAAAGAGAGAGAAAGAGAGAGAGAAGAAAAAAAAAAGTAACGAAACAAAGACGTGAAAAGAATTTTAAATAAATGGTTGAAATATGCTCGATCGATGATACGAAGCAAGATGAGCGAATGAAAAGAATCTCGCGAGATTAAAATATCCAAAATATCGTAATTTTGGACGAGTGAACGCGATATGCAATTTCAAAAATATTTTAAGATTTTTTTGTTTGTTCGTTCGTTGGACGACTCGCGACCTGCGCGAGTTTTATTCCCACAACAAATGCGTTGCGCGCGCACTTTATTCGACGTTCCCATGGTAACGGGAACGGTGTAATCGCGAACTAACGATAAAAGTTAAAAGACGCGCGGCGAGTCGGTGAGGTTTCGAGAGAAGAACGACCCTATCGTACAAATATTGTATGCACCAGTATCGTTCTAGTATTCGTGTAAAACGTATAGTTCGTAATACGTATGTAAGTATGAGGGGGTAACGGCCAGCCGTTGAAGAAAGATAACGATAAAAGAAGAACATAACGCTTGTGTGATGATCGCAACGCGACGCAACCAACTTATTTGCCTCTCTCTTTCGACCGCATCGTCGCTACGTATCATTCGCATCACTCTCGTTGCTAGCTCGTTCCGATAAATAATATTGGAATACGATTCGAATTCCATTCGATTTGATTCCGTTTGAATCGTATTACGCGACGATATCCATGTCGGAGGAAGAATTGGGCGTGGTCGGTGCCAAACTACCGAGGGTGTCCTCGTCCGGCAGCCCATGTTGACAACCAGTTTGCGTCGGACTCAACGGCGGTAGATGAGGCGAGGAGAGCATAGGATCGCCGCTATGAATCGGACCATTCCCGTCGTCCTCCATCAGATCTTCCAGTTGAGACATGCTCAAACTCGTTGCTTCTTCGGTAACCAATTCTGGAATCTGTTCGAATACGAATATAAATATATATAGATATAGATATCGTGTTACATCGTTACACACGATCGTCGACTATAATCTATCTACTTTTCGAGACACGTGTGGAAAACTAAAAAATCTATTCGAGATGGGATAGATCGAGGAAATACGATATCGATTCGCGATATTGAAAAAGAGATCGTAATAATACGGAAATACGATTCAAATTTTCTCGTTATCTATGCGGAACGATCTTTCCTCGTCGCGGTAGGAAGAGGTGGAAGGAAGAAGAAAGAAAAAAAGAAAAACGATAAATGACGATAAATACGATTGGGAAAATAAACGGGAACAATAAGTGGTTGGAAATAGTGGGAGTAAGGGAGAAGAAGAGTTGTCGATCGAAGAGTTGGCGATATCGAGTATAAAATTGTCTATTTATGCGTTGTAAGGTTGGAAAGAGAGGAGGAGAGAAGATAAAACGATGAATAAAGGAACGATATCGTAGTAGTTACATAGTAAGTCTGGTGATCGGAACAGATGCGAATTACGAAACCAGTCTCGGGAGCGAAGCGAGCGTTTATTCGGATCAAGGATCGTGAAACTATACATCGGTGTAGGTATATCGGCGTTGATCGGGATAACCTTGACGAAAAATTCATAGGAATCGTGTAATGTGGTTAGTACACGAGAATACGTACGTTTCGCCGTTATGTAAAAACGGAAGCACCGTACGTATATAGCTTGAACCGAGGAGCAGTGTCTCTCTCTCTCTCTCTCTCTCTCGGAGGCGAGAGAAAGAGAGAAGAAAAAAAAATAAGGAATTAGGTTGGATTACCTTGCGATGCTCGAGTTTGTTTCGAGCAAAGGCGTTCAACATGCTACCGGAAGTGGAGGCCCAATTGAAATCAGAAACCGGAAGGCCATGCGCTTTTGCTTGCAATTCCAACTCTTGAACTCGTAAAAGGAGTCGGCGATTCTGATGTTCCAATTGCTTGTGCCTGACTTCGTTCTGTTTCATTCTTGTCAACTCGTTTTTCAACAATTTTATATATTCGACCGAAGACTTGAGTATCGTGCCTTTATTCGGCCTAACGTCTCGAACGATTTCGTAATACCTGAAACAAAGCAACCAGCGATGAATCGGTGTTGCCGTTTATACGCGCAACGTATAAACATTCGTTCTCTTTTTTAAGGGGAAGTTTTCTTCCCCTTCGCGCGCCTTAGGCTACGATACACGCATGCGCAGAACGTAGTTTCAAAACGTAGAGCAAAATACAAAATCCTAAGGGGCCTAAGAGGAAGAGAATCAAGAGGTTCAAGAGGAGAGAATCGCCAAATCATAGGGAACTAATAAATTGAAAACGGGATGTATCTATGTATATCGATGATATATTACGAAACCGATACGTTTCGATTTTTTCAATTCGAAAAATTATCGATCTCTCGTCTTCGAATAAACTACCTCGATTCGTGTGAATTTCGTAAGAGAATATGAAAGCAAATACGATATATAATCTTTACTCGAGTCGTAAGATACGCCGGTGGACGAAAAGAAAAACGGGGTCGTATGGGCATGTTTGCCGTGTAATTAGACTCGTTTTGTTATCGAGTCGCGACACCGTAACTTGGTCTACTATCGAGTCGTAGATACTCGGCGTCTTTCTTTCGCGCGATACGATTCGTACAATTATATCGAGAAAAGAGGAGAGAAAATCGTTCATTCATCCTCGTCGTTTTCCTCGTTTTGCAAACGTGTGTTTATATTTGTTTAAAAAAAAAAAAAAAAAAAAAAAAAAAAAAAAAAACCGCAATAAAACGCAACGCGTACAAAGCATTGTAATGGAATAAAAAAGAGGAGGAAAAGATAAGAGAAAGAAAATAATTGTATTCGGAAGATATACTCGATATCGCGTTATCGTCGCATTATCGTCGCGTTGAATGCGTTGCAACGAGACGAAGAAGAGGTAGGAAACGAAAACACGTAAACGGATACTTACGGATCGTTAGTTTTAGGCAAAAGAGTGCCGAGCTCTTTGATTCTGTCGTTGATGTTGAACCGTCGTCGTCTCTCGACTGAAAATAATAATAATAATAATAATAATTAGGGATGGTACATATCTTCGAATATTTTTATCGTTATTGAATAAAGAAATGAAGAGGTATAAAAAAATATAACATCGCGAGATCAGGAAAAAAAAGAAAGGGATCTAAATCGATTGGGAGGAGCTGGTTTCGATGATGGTTCTGTTCTATCCGAATAGCGATGAAATAAATAGAGATGAATAAATTATTACATGGTTTTTCGCATGCTGCTACTAATTGACAGTAACAGGGTAGCGCAGCGACGATATTGACGCAACAGTCGATCTTACTTACTCATATTATGATTATCTTTCTTTTGTCGATCTTTGGCAAGCGCATGTATCTCCGCCTCCGTAAGTAGCAAAGGTTCCGGTTTGATTTGCAACTCGGGAATATTGGTCAGACTTCCTGATTGGCTGTCCTTTAAATTATCACCTAGAGAGTTTGCCTCGAACGACAATATGTCGTCCAAAAGATCCTCCGCCTGTAATCGGACAAAAAAAAAAAAAATCAGACGTGACTAAAGCGAAGCGATCGCATGGTCCATCGTCGATTTTAAACGATAAATCGATATCCTATCGAGGATATCGACGAAACAATATTGCTCGTATATACGTGAAACAACGGAAAGAAATGAAGCGAGATAATAAAATTATCTCATCGATCATAATCGTAATCGCTTCGATTCTTTTCAATATTAACTTCATTTCTCTTTTATTCGATATATTCGATATATATATTCTATACTCTGCGTGTACGTCGACTTAACATAAACAAATAACGCTGCCGCTTTCTTCTTATCGAATTTTTATCGATTTCGTTGATTTTTGAAGGAAAGTAACGAACACGATACGATATTAAACGATGATAAAAAACGATGATATTCAGAGGATAACGAGGAATTATTTTTAAAACGTAGAATAGAAAAGAAAAGATTAGAAGAAAAAAGAAAGTTTCGTTGAAAGATTCGTACGATATAGGGATTGAAAGAAAGAAAGGGGGAAAAAAAAAGAAAAAGAAAAAGAAAAAAAATGACGAGAATGGGAAACGATGTAAAACGAACGGATTGTGGTGAGATCGCGAGCATCAGCGCTCAACGAACGGCGCTTATGCCTATTCGAGTTGCGTACGTGTAAGTTACGTAAACATTACGTAACAATAATAACGAATAACGTCTGTCCGTGGAAGAACGTATCGTTGGAGCGTGGCACGTCACAAAGCAACCAAGGTACGAAGTGAAACGGAAAGATTCGGTTTGTAACGGAGAAAGCGGTCGAATAGACGGAGATAAAAAGAAAAGAGAAAAGGGAGGGGAGAGGAACAAAAAGATTCGATCGATCATCTTTCGACGAAATCGTGTTAAAATCGTAAAGCAAATTATCGACGATACATCGTCGGATAATCGAGAAAATAAAATTGAAAGGAATACATTTAATTGGAATCGCGATAATTTATGTTGACGAAGCAATTATCATAACGGAAGTTGTATCGAGTTTTATGTGTCGTTTCGTCATATATCATGTTGTATCTCTACGCTTTGCAGTAGCGTGATAAAATATATGTATCTGGGATCGGCAATCGATATTCGATTTTATAGGTTTTCGTAGGTTTTTTCGAAACGAGAGGATGAATCATTTCGCGAGCGTAGGTTATGTAAAAAAAGAAAAACTTGCTCGATATTGTGCATCATACGTTCGTAAGAATGAAACGGAAGCTGTCCTTGAAATTAGTTGAGAACGATTAAACGAAACCGAAATGGACGAACGGTAGATTTCACGGTAGATTTGGTTCAATTTTTATACGTATGTTCATTGCGTATCTCTCTCTTTCTCTCTCTCTGACTTGCTGTTTGTTTCGCTGTCTTTGTTGATATTATGCAAGGTGAGACATCTTTCACAAATATTAACATCGACCGAGAACGAATTCGTGGTATTTAGGTGTTTTTTATCTAGATAAGGTGTTATCTAGACACGAGTGTAATCGCTGCCTCTTATCTTGAAAACCATTTTTAGTCTTTGATCGAGAAAGATTTATACGTTTCTTCGAGCAATCGGAAGTGTTGTCGTTTATCTTGCGTATTTTCCTCGTGGATACACGATGAACGATAAAGAACAAAGAAAGAAAGAAAGCGAGAAAATTTCGTATGGTGAAAAATCGTGGTGTTATCGTGGATTCACGTTTCGTGATAACGCGAACGAAATGCCACCGAAATCTACGAAATATCACGACATATGTAACACGAGTAGTACGCGAGAGAATAAAGGAAAGGTAAGGTCGATTCTTCGTCTCGCCTCTCGACGCGATTTTTTATCAAACTAGCTAACGCGCTTCGATTCTCTCATTTTTGTTAAAACGATAAGGGAAACGATAAATATCCTTTGTTCAAGCTCGTTGTACATCGATATCGTACGCGATCAATTCGAATCGAACGAGTTGAATCGAAACGCGGATTTTCTCTCGAATATTGTCTCGATTTTTGTCGAAATACGAATACTATGTATTTTTTGTTCCCACTCAATTCGTCACATTCGTTGAACTGTTCGGTTCGAGATATACGTGTTGAGTGTTGTGAAATGTAACGCTAATAATCGAATGGCGCGATAATGCAATAACGCGATGCAATTAACGGGAACGAAAAACCGCGTGGAAAAAGATGTACGCGAAAAATATATATGAGATGCAGAAGAGAGATAGAGATAGATAGATAGATAGAGATAGATAGATAGAGATAGATAGATAGAGATAGAGATAGAGAGAGAGAGAGAGAGAGAGAGAGAGAGAGAGAGAGAGAGAGAGAGAGAGAGAGAGAGAATCGATAAACGGATACATGTTGGATCACTATCGGAGATGATATTTAAACGAATGGAATAAAACTCACCTTACACCTGCGGGTAATTATATTGAATACTGGCATGTTGTCGTCGCTTGAAAGAAAATCCGATGATGAAAAAGTAAGAAGAACCGTGTGTATTCAGACTGAGAGAGACATGTGCGCGGGTGGGCACGTCTGCTGCATGCATGCACGTGGTTAGGAGCGCGAGTTCGTGGTATGCGAGTATTTTCGATTCGAATATGCAAACGTAAAGAAGAATGGAAAAAAATGTTATTATTAATCCTTAACTTCTTCTTTCAAAAAAGCATATTTACGGTACGATCGCAATCGTTGGAATTATTTCGATAATCGTTGGAACTGTTCTCTCGATGGAAATTATCTCGTCTTAAAATTTAAACAATAGACATCTAGTATCGTCGTTATCGCGATCGTTCATGTCATCGTCATCACCATCATCCTTGTCACCGTTTTCATTGTCACAGCCACTGTCGCCATCTTCGACGTCATAGCAATAGCTTTAGTTCTCGCTGCCCGTTTCGTAATTATCATCGTAAGTGATGCGATTGATCTTCCTTTTTTTCTTTTCCTTCTCTTTTCCCGTTCTCCTTCTTTTTTCAAAAATTCTCATTCACGGAATATCTCGTTAACTTCGTTTCGTCTTCTTTTTCTTCTTCTTCTTCCTCGTCCTCGATGCGATGCGATCAAGATACGTAAAATATAATTGGAACAGGTGAACAGGCGTAAAGAAGGATACGAACGAGAGAGGAGAGAAGATGAATACGAGTGGATCGGTGACGATCGAACAGGATAAGAGCGAGGACGAATCGTTAAGCTTACTTTTGACCAATTTTTAATTATGGGATCGTTGGTAGGTGAGGAACAACGTTGGCGATGAAACGAACGTGAGAGCGAATACGAATAGGAATGTGGAGGAAAAGGCGGACAACGATCGATCGAGGAACGCGTGCATTTTTGAGCACCGCGTGGCGTCGCGCCGCGCCGTTCCACGTTTCTTGCAACAACCTTGCGATTTTCTCTTCGTATCGCCACTTCGTCGCGACTCGGTTACTTGCGATTAAGCGCACCTCAAGGTTGCGGTTACCCAATATCGTGTCTCACGCCCGAAACGAGGAGAAACGAGGAGGAAGAAAGTAAGAATAGGGGATAATAGGGAAGAAAGGAAAGAAAGGAAGAAGAGTGTGGCGAACAAATGGAAGATAATCGAATATTGGGAAACGGTTGGAAAATGTGTCACGCGTTAAAAAGAATCCATTGTCCGAAAAACGGTCGGCTTATCGCCTCCAATTTGTGCGAAGCGATAAATTTAAAAATAGTACTCATCGCAATAGTACGCATTACTTTGCCTTTTTCTTGTCGCTTCTAAAAAAAATCGAACTGACCGCAAATACGCTTTTTTACCGTGTCAACATGAACAACGCGAGTTGTGCGCTGATCGTCCGTTTCGGAACGGTTGAAATAAATAAATATCGTCGGTGACGGTGTTAATCGGAGTGAGATCTTTCAGCGGATTCGTCGGATCGCAGTTTTTCCTCTTGTCGTCAAATGTCGTTATCGGGTGTTGCCTCTCGACAAATCCGATGGATGAAAATATTCCGCATTGGATAATCCGACGTGGTTCTCTCTCACCCCCTAGTTGACTGGTTGCGAAAACGAAACGTGAAATTACGTTGCGTCCGAGGCGATAGAAGGAACGAGAGCAAAGAGAAGACGGGAAATCGTGTCGCGAAACGAACATCGAACCACCAACGACGCTCCACGAAGGTTTGCTCTCGCGCGCGAACCTCCCGAACCTCCACCGTCGATCGGCTCGCTTCGGTACTGCTCGCTACTGCTCGCTACTGCTCGAATGCCCGCCACGCGCCACCGACGCTCTACCATGCCCCACGCCTGTTGCGCTATCGGCTATCGTTAACTTACCGTTTCTATCCGATATCCCCTACTATTCCACTCCACAACTATTGTATCCACCACATAATCATATTGTAGTGTACGCATTTTCGTCTCTGTCGTTCGATTCGAGTCGTTGTATCCCCTTGTCCCATTTCTTCTATCGTTCTTTCCTTCTTTTATTCATTCTCTCCCTCTCTCTCTCTTTCTCTCTCTCTCTCTCTCTCTCTCTCTCTCGCAATTCTTCCGTCTTTTTCTCTTAATCCATCTTAGAAATACTTTTTAGTCGATTCGATGCATCTCTTCCATTCTTCTTCACCATTCGTTTCGCGATATATATTCTTTCGATTTATATTCTTTCTTTCTAGTCGAATTATTTCGTTGTATTTTGTTGACGAACGAATTTGCGTTGCGTCAAATTTCTCTCATCGTCTCTCAATTCCATTATTTATTCTACTCTCGTCGTCTCGGTTGTACGACGCGTCTTAGGTATTGAATCGTGGTAACGGATTTGGTTTCTCCGTTAACCCAGTTGTTTGGTGTGCTCGTGGAATATTGCATGCAACAGATAGCCGAGCGTAGCTAAAAAAATAGCAATGTAAAAAAATTTTAACCGATCAAGCTGATGAAAAGTGTACGAAATTTTATATTTTTCTTTCTTGTTTGAAAATCGATGCGGAAATATAATATACCTATACGTCATAAACGATATTTTACGTCAAAAACAGGAGGACAGTCATATTTTTAAAATATGAAGAAAATAATCGAAATAAATCGCAGGATTATCGTTATTGTAAATTATTATTATTATGAATACCAACGAATTTTTCAACGAAAATTTTTGCATGATAGAAAAATTTATACATCGCGTAAAGAAGGATTACAAGAATTATCTGTGTATAAAAAAAAAAAATATCTATTCTTCTTATTAGAGATACAACATGGTATAACGTCGAAAACTACGCGAAAAACATTATAGGTAAGCACATACGTATGTATGTTTCTGGCCGACTTTCGATGCCAGACGAATAACAAAGAAAAAGAAAGCGAGCGCACGATCGATTCAACCTTCGGGATGTCAAGTATACTTACGAATATGATCACTTCTATTTCGCATTCAACCTTAACTCTTCAAATTGTGCTATGAGCATCTATTTTTTTCTTTTTCTATCCTAATGATATACGCGCATACCGTACAAGCAGATCATCGATGACCATTCGAACAAATTCCTCGTGGTTTCTTTTTATATTTGGATTCCATATATTTTCATCCTGTTTCCTATACGAAACTCGGGAACTCCGAAGTTTTTCCTTTTTCCCCGTTTTCGATTGTTCGAATGGAATACGTGTGTTAGCCAGTGTACGTGAAACATATGTAGGAGGAAATTCAAATTGGAGATTAGCAGATAAATTACCTCGGAATTGCTGGTCGCGACACTGGAAAGACCTGGTGACATAGCACCAGTCGTAGGATCTGGACTAGCCGCAACCTGATTACCAAGCGGCAATACCGTGGGACCGTGTGGATACGAAGCCAGATGAGGATGCTGCGGCTTTGGATGATGTACCGTTGGACCCGGTGGTGCGCTCTGTACTATCATCGGTGCGGATGTCGGCACACCTTCCACCGAATTTCTGCCGAGAACGTTTCCATCCCCGGCGCTGATCGTTCCGTTACCGCGAAACGATTCGTGAAGGTATTGCCGCACTTGATTCTTCTGCTTTTGAACGACATGGTAACGCGTCGGATTTTCCAATAATGTCCGTACCTGTAGCGAACAAAAATATTATACAGCTAATTTCATCCGTCCATTCTCTCTTTCTTTACCTTATTTATAACGTGGTCTTTAGATCGGTATTTCTGCGCAAAAAGAGAAACACCGCTACCACACCGTTTCATGTTACTTTTGAATTTGGATTTTTAAAAGTTTATGAACCGTTTATGGCCGACTATTACATTATTATTCTCATCGTTCTCGTATATATTTGATAAGAAAGTAGAGATCTAAAAAGAAGAGATAAATACGTATAAATAAGTGGATGTATCATATATTCGTGTACATTTGTATGTATATGAAAAATATTTATATAAAAGGAACGATAGGATAAAAGTGATAAAGTGATAAGTGACGATGAAAAAGATGGAGTCAAGTTTGGGATAATGAGAAACGGCAGTAAAAAAAAAAAGGATGCGTGACACGCGATAACGAGATAAAATAAACATACTTGTAAGACTTGTGGTGGTACGTCTACGCCGATAGTCGAGAGTGAGGTAGAAGGTACCGGCCTGGGAGGAGCAGCCGTTGGTCTCTGTTGCTGCAAATTCTGACGAAATTCAGCTTCTCGCCTTTCCTGCTCTTGCAGCTGTTCTCGCATCAGCTGAAGTTTCAGTTGTGTACGCGAGGTGGGTGTTGCAGTCTTAAACGTTGGTGGACTGAAAACCATCGAAAACAAATTGATTTTATGCAAAAAAAAACTTTATTTTTCTTTTTCAGATTGGTATATACGATATATTTTAATTATATTCTATTAACGATAAAAAAGACTTGAAATTTTAAAAAACCTGATTCATTTTGCTCAACATTTATTATTTATATATATACATGTATTATAAACTAAAGACTGATATACAAAAATATTGTACCTTGCTATATAAAATACGCGAAATTCAAATTTATGAATTTAAAAAAAAAAATCTAACTTGTAATTCATTAAAATTCAAATTTATGACTCAAGATGAAAATGAGCATGTAAAATAAGAACATGTAAAGTATTCGTATTCGCGTTCGTGATATTAAATTTTTTTTTAGAGAAAACTGTTCGTTTGTATCGTTTACATCGCGATATTCGAGATGTAGATAAATACAAATTGTTATTCAAATTCTAATGAAATGTTTCGTGCAAGAGATAAACGCGTACAAATCGCATGGCGATTTGACAGTTTATCAAGGAGGAGTGGTAGTAACGAGTCGCCTAAAAGGTATTCTCAATTTTGGAGCAAGGCCAAATTATAGCCATAAGAAAACCAAAATAGAGAGATTGTGCAATTTGGATCGAGATTCGATTCTTGTCCTCCGAGTCGCGATCTTTTCTTCCGGATAACACATCGAAAACGTAACGTATTAAACACTCTCGCTGTTCTCTATCTCTCGAAACGATCAAGATCTCGTCCATTTTGTATATTTGTCGCACAACTGTCACAAGTTATATAATCATCTTCGGCGAAAAAATAATCGAGTTACTCTATATTCGTTCGTTCTCTTTTCCTCAAATTCTAAATCGTTCTTACGTTCTTACGTTCTTTTTTATCTTTCTTTTTTATCTTTTTAATCGTGTCCACTTCACGATACAAAATATACAAATTCTCAAAGACAAGGAATATTAACGAATAACGAATTGAACGATATTATAATGAAACTTATTATAACACGTATTTATCGATGTGTGATGTAAAATTATTATATATAAATTTGATTTCGACATCATTGATCTTTTTTTCGAAAAGGAAATAGTTTCGATTAATCTCTTTGTTTTTTTTCAACAAACAAATCACTTTAAAATAAAAAAAAAAAAAATTAAATAAATAAGGAAAAAATAAGGAAAATATCGAAATATAAAAAGCGAGGAAATGACGAGAATCGTATATACGATGTATCGCCAGATTCGCGAAATACATTTACGTGTAAGAACCAAGGACGCATTTATATTTAGATGCAATGTTTACGGTCGAGAAGAAGGTAGATATGGCGGTAAACGGAAACGGACACATACTTTAAACTTTCGTTAAAAAAAAAGAATAATCTCGCGAGAAAAATCTCGTTAGTTTGCATAAATATTGTACAGTAAAGTATAGTAAAGTAAAAAACAATGTATGTATAGCAATGAAAAATGATATATATATATATATATATAAATAAAGATCGAATGAGTGAAAAAAAACGAAAAAAAAAAAAAAAAAGAAAAAGAATATATATATATATATAAATATATGGTAGAATTGAAAAATTGGTTTAATAATGATAAAAAATTGAAGATGAAGAAACGTGAATCGGTTAAATCTCGAACCGTTTTAATAATTCTGTACCAGCCTTGCGGGCGAGTTGATCGTAACGGCCGAGCAAACGCAACGTGACCATTGTTCCGAGAGTTGGCGTGCACTAGGGACGACGTGGGCATTCCGTCGACAATCGACGGATCCATGTCGAGAATCATGCGTAAATCCTCGTCGATACCGATATGTACGCGCACTCGTTGTTCTTGTTCTTGTTGTTCTTGACGTTCAATTTCTTCCTTCTGCCGATGTTCCGATGAAATAGATGAACAGTTAATCGTACGAATGGCGGACTTGACGGCGGTTCCGATGTGCGAACACGTGCACGAGCAGTTTGAATCTTGAACGTAATGTCGCGACAAAGGAACAGAATTTGATTCCTGTTTGTTCAAAAACGGTAATGATACCGATACCGATGCCGATGCCGATGCCGATGCCGACGTCGACGCAGACGTCGACGCCGGCACAGGCACCGTATCCGATTTCGATCCCAATTCCGGGGCTATAGAACGTGAAACTGGTAATGATCCACCAATATTTCCCCAATTCGTCAACGTCTTTGTCGTTGTTGTTTTCGTTAATGTAGTCGTTATCGTTGTCGTTCTTGTTGCTGCAGATATCGTTGTAATTATCGTTCCGATTTTATTCTCGATAACAACACCACCGATATTGTTCAATGGTCGCCCAACGTCGTTTATTCGATTCAATCGCGACACTAAATCCTCGAATTCGACGATTTGCCGCACTGTGTCGGATATCTCTTGCATGTCCTCCGAAGGAGGTGAAAAAGCTTTACGGCCGAACCAGCCCAGAAGTCGTGGCACTACTAAACCAGATGTCGCATCTTTTTGTTGTCACGAATATTGTCGACGACGAGAGCTGTCAGCTACGAAAAACCGACGCTCCTTGCTCTAAACCTGGATCCGTTATTCTTCTCTCTTTTCCACCCTTTCTATTCCTCTCATGCGCCATTTTCGCGCATTCGCATATCCGCGCCAAATCTCGTTCGTCACTTAACCACCAATTATCAAATAGACGTCAACACTTGAGAATCGGCAAGATTTTTAGAAATAAAAACATGGCAATTGATTAGCTCGTTATTTTCTTCATTTTTTTTTTTTTTTTTTTATAATTTTCGAAATTTTGTTAGCAAAATTGATTTGAAAAAGATCTCATTTGGTTAAAAAAAAACACATATCCTTCTCGATATTGACATACGTAAGTAAATACATACATCCACGTGACACGTCAAACAGTTTGCGACATAAGAAAAATTATTTACGAAACAACATTAGAATAGACATAACTTTTGTGTAATGCCAAAGAATGTGGATTATTTCGGAAATATTGCGATTTTTCTTTCGAGATCGAAATTAAGATCGAAGAAAGTGCAAGTGGAACGATGGTGGATAGAACCGAGACCGAATCAAGCCGAACGTGAACCGAGATAAATCGATGTATAACGAAATTAGCCGAAACAAGCCGAAGCAAGCTAAGAGCGCACGTATGACGGAAGCGAGTGAAGACTCGCACATCGTAATCTAAAGAAATTACAAGCGGTTAATCGATATCGAGATACGAATTTATTAAAATTATTCGGACTATTTTAACTTTCGATTTCATTTATTTATCGCGATATATATAGATTTTTAACGTACAACTATACAACGTACCTGTCAATATTCGGGGCTCGGCTCTTTAATTCATAATACATGATGTCTTGTAGCGGTGTCGACAAAAAGGATAAAGCCTGTTCCCAATCATCATTGTGATTATTCCTATCTTCGTTTTCGTTTAGTTTATTACCACAACACGATTCATCGATACCAGTTATTCCATTTTGTTTGTCCTGACATCGACGATTGCACAAATTCGCTTCGCGATGTTCCAAATCAGCGGTAATAGCTGCCAGATCGAAACCCATGTCGATTCCAGATTCCTCCATTCTCGTATATATACTTTTACTATTTATTAAAGATAATAAAAGAAAAATGCAACGCGACGCGACGCGACGCGGCGCGAATTGTAGCGTCGCGACGCCACTTGTCGCGAATAAACTATGATTCTTGATATTTTTCTCGGCGAAACGATCGCGATTACAAGACAACGATGTGTTCTCGAGTTTTGCTTTCTAGTGTGGCGCCTCCCCACTGGTAGAAGCTAGGACGCGCGTGTCGAGCGATAATCGGAGCGAGAGACGGGAGAGACGGGCCTCGCGAGAACTTGTACGAAAACTGTTAACCGATTGGTGATGAGCGGGGGATGCGTTTGTTACTCTCGACGCTATCCGATGCTCGATGCTCGATACATTCGATGCTCTATACTAGATCTCGGCTTAATGCCCAACCATTCAACGAGGGGACAAGAGAGATGAGTAGATCACGAGTTTCTCACTAACATCCGTGATCCCCCTCCTCCCCCATGTTTGTTATATGTCCATTCTTTACAACCGCATCACCAATACTAATATGTACTCCCAGCGAAAGCGAACAAACGAGAAACACTAATAAATTTGACCGATGATCCTACACGCAAGCGCACAACCACTGAAACGATTTAACGAACCGTATACAAAAAATTAATCGGATAAATTTAGAAATATCACGATGTTTATTGTAGGTTAATACGATAATGAAATGAATCGAGAAACGAGAGTTACGGTACGAGCGATTATTTATAAGAAAATAAAGACGGGTAAATTAATAAATTAATCGTGATCAATGTACGAGTATGCATGGCCCGATTATTTCTTTCTAAAAGTACCACGATTTCTTGCAAGTACAGCCATCTCACGACAAACTCTTCAATCTTTCGTGTTGATCATTATTCGTAACTTCATCGACATTGCATTCTTGTTCTCTTTGCTTTCTACTTTTATTTAACACATTTACTCGCATTTACTGCAATCGATTTAAAACCGGAAGAATGAATGATAATTTTCTAACTTTTTTTTTTTTTTTTTTTTTTTTTTTTTTTTTTTTTTTNTTTTTTTTTTTTTTTGCTTTTTTTGCTTTTTTTGCTTTTTTTAAAAGCATAGAAAGATATAAGTTGTTTTTATTGCTTTTTGATTTTTTTTATGGTGAAACGATAAACGATATCGTAATGTCAAGTGCGGAAAAAGTTATTACGCGATATTTTAAGAATATATCTATATTGTGTATATATTTGAAGTGATGCAAGTATTATAATTTATGCTTACGTAGATACAAAAATTTATAAAATTGCTGACACCAACGTAACCACCATCGTTCGACACATCGAATGAGAACAATAGCATGGTCTGTACCTTGTTCGTATCGAAATAACGAATATTCGAATCAGTTGATCGAATCGTCGAAGAAACAACGATTCGCGTGTCGAAATCGAATCGATTTTTAATTCGCTCGAACCTATGATGTATATTCGATTTTGCGGTTTCCCAATTCTTTTTTTAGTCGCATGGAGCATCGATGGTATTCAAGTGTTCGGAAAGCAAAATCGTTTTCCTCAAGAAATATCGAAAAAATTGGACGAGTATTGGAACTCATACAAGGTACTCATACATGTACATACATCTCATATACGATGTATCTATTAAATTATTCCATATATCCATATATCAAATATAATCGATTAACATTGATATAAATATAGGATATAAATCTGTACCGTAATATATAATTTATCGAAATAATTTTTATTAATTTTAATATAATTTATGTATAAATCAGGCCCGTTATAATAAAAGTTACTCCGGAGATCTCGAGTCTAGTCGAAGAATAACTTGGGAAGAAAATCTAATAATGATTTATAAACATAATATGATGGCAGCTGCAGGCCATCACAGTTATACATTGAAAGACAATCATATTGCCGATCTTGGAACTAGACAATACATTCGAGAAATGGTAATATATATATATATATATATATATAAATGATTAAAAAAATTTTAACTTATATACAAGTCGATAATGATCGAATTAATATAGATATTTCGATATAATATTTCATAAAATCGGATATTTTTATTCGATTGTTTTTTTAAAATCGTGAAAAAGAAAAATTATTATTCACCGTTTAGACGATTAATACGATTTTCTCTTTATTCGCAGGTGAAATTGATTCCAAGTCGGAAGCGACGTATATCGAAAGATACATTGGTTGGTGCGAGTTTATCCGATAACCAACGTATTCCACGAGAACTCGATTGGCGCGAGATTGGATTTAAGACACAACCAGAAAATCAAAGGGATTGCGGGAGTTGTTACGCGTATTCCATAGCTGGCAGCATCGAGGGACAAATCTTTAAAAAGACAGGCATGTTGCTTCCATTGAGCGAGCAACAATTAGTCGATTGCAGTACATCTACCGGTAATTTAGGATGTTCCGGAGGATCTTTGAGAAACACTTTGAGATATCTCGAAAAAGCAAAAGGTTTAATGGCTAAGACGTATTATCCATACAAGGCGAAAGTACGTATTTTCCTTCTTTTTTTTCTCTTTCTCTTTTTCTTATTTTTCGTATAATAAAAATATCGACAGACAATATTTAAGGCAATGTATAATACGATGATGGATGTATTTAATGCGATTTAAGATTATATTCGTCAAATTATATATACGTAGATATCTACATAATCGAAGGAAATATAATTAAATCGTTTATAATTGCATTTACATTTTTGGAAAAATAGCAAGGTCAGTGCCGTTTCAAGGAAGATTTGAGCGTAGTCAACATCACTTCATGGGCAGTGTTACCGGCACGCGACGAGAAAATTTTGGAAGCTGCAGTAGCGACCATAGGTCCAATAGCTGCTTCGATAAATGCTAGTCCAAAAACGTTTCAACTTTATCAGTGAGTATCCGTCATTTTTTTTTTTTCTTCTCTTCTTTTTTTTTTTGCGAAACAAATGAATTTCCTTGCAAGAAAACAAACATTCCATACGAAATCTCCTTACTAATTATACGTACGAATTATAGCTATGCTTTATAGTAAAATATATAAAATGAAAATTTAGGGAGGAAAAGGTTGGAAAAAAAGTGGATGGGGTGAGAGATAGATAGTAGTAACGAGGTAAGAATAATAATAAACGAGACAAGACGAAAGAAATGATGGAAGGAAAGGAACAAAGCACTTTTGACACGCAAATGATTCGTGACTTGGACGAGTGTTTACGCGAAAGTTAAGAATACGAAAACTCGTATCATCCCCCTCTGGTAGATATATTCGAAGAAATTGGTCCACTTGTACGATAACCTTTGGTGCATTGTTTACGCGACGATGAGCCTGAAACGGCAACGAACCGAAAGTCAGTGAACTTGCGTTTCGGAACTAAAAGGAAGTTTTACATTCGCGATCTTCGATATTTCGTCGTTTCGATCGCACACAGTATCAAAGAATCGGAAACATAAATCCGCAATTTTTCCTTCTCTTTCTCCATTCTTCCTCTTTCTTTCTCTCTATATTTTTTCTCTTTTCTTCTTTTTTTTTTTTTTTCAAGCTCAATCATACGATCGATTTTGGTTCACAGCAAAGGAATCTACGATGACGAAGTTTGTAGTTCGGACATGGTGAATCACGCTATGTTGATCGTTGGATACACGCCAACCGAATGGATCTTGAAGAATTGGTGGGGCGATGGATGGGGAGAAAACGGATACATGCGTTTGGCAAAAAATAAAAATCGATGTGGAATTGCGAATTATGCGGCATACGCAAAAGTTTAACTCGATATACATAAATTGGAGAGAGAGAGAGAGAGAAAAAAAAAAAAAAAGAAAAAAAAACGATCCATCCATGTTGATTTCCGATTTTCGATCATTCGAAATCGAATCTCCTCGGCGTTTAACATTGAAATTTATACGCGTTTTCGATTCACGTCTCGATTCAAACGCAAACGCAATCGTGAAAAATATCCATCGAAACCGGTGAACCGTCGACGACATCAAACGCTACTTCGTACCTTATTTTTATTTTCCCATACACATTGCATATATACGTTTGATCGAGTCAAAGAATTGAAAGATCATCTATTATTCGAGTTGAAAGAAAGTGTGCGATATTTTTCACCTTTGGAAAAAAGGGGGGGGGGACGATCGTCGTTACATCGTTCGGGCGATAACGGCTCGATCTTTCTCGGAAGCGATAATTTAAGCTAACCTTGAATATCACCACCGTACAATCATTTTCTGGCTGATAATTCCTACGATTACCTAACGAGCGCGTTCTCGCTCAAACAAAGTTTCGGCGAGGGGGTAAAGATTTATCGAAAAAAAAAAAAAAAAAAAAAAAAAGATGATAGACGCGCGCATGATCGCCGATCGAGGCAAATTACGCGGAAGAAATTTACTCGACGACGATTATTTTCATTCATCGAACCCGTGTGTGTGCTATCTCTCTCGAATATACGATGCGATTACGTACGATGCGATATACCCGTGTGTGAAAAAATACAGGGGAGGATAGATATATTTATGTTATCCATCCCTTTCGTTTATCGTATTTCTTCCTTCCGAGCGAGAAACCGCGTGGAAATTGGCCGCGATCGTGTCGAACGACGAGTTATGAGAATGTAGGTGAGAACGATGACAAAGGGGGACGATGAAGCGAAGCATGTTCGTGACGCGTGTTTCAACCGACGATATCAGCACGATTCGTCTCCATCCAATCCGCTGTATCCCCCGCTCATGGAGCAAAGTTCAGACTGTACCAAGAACCGATGCGTGACTGAAACCATCCCAACGATGTATCTTTAGTCTTGGCGGATAAGGTGGTTGAGTGAAGAGGACGGCTCGATCGATCGAAAAGATAGAATCGGGAGAATCTAAAATCCGGGTCGCTCGTTTATCATTTATCAAAGTGGATCGAACATCGATTTTCGCGCGTTGATCGAACAAACATATATATATATATATATATAATAATAATAATAATAATAAATATATAAATATATATATATATATATATATACATGTACGTATCCCAAGCCGAGGAATTTCGGGATAAATAAAGGAGTGAAAGAAAGGGGAAAGAGAGGGTGAGGGGGAGGGATGGTGAAGGGGAGGAAGGGAAGTAAGTCGGGAATGAGGGTAGAGAGGAGTGGTAGGAAGGCAAGGGAGTAAGGTAAGGGAAGCGAAAGAAGAGAGGAAGAAAGGAAGGAAGGGAGAGTTGGTAAGAGAGAAATTGGTAAGATGTAAGGACGAACGAAGCGAAGATACGTTTGGAAGAAAAGTGGGATTCGAGTTGATGGAATTAATCGGCGATTGGATCGAAGAGAGGAGTCGATGGAAAGCGAACGGACGTTGTACGATCGGTGAGATCCTTGGAAAGAAGGCCGAAGATAGAAATCGGTGAAAGAGAGTACAATTCGATCGAGAAATCGAGAATAGAGAGGCGAGAAGAGTGCGGGATATCGATAACCGTAAAAAGAAAAAAAAAAAAAAAAAAAAAAAAAAAGAAAAATATATACGGAACGATGCGTCTGGTTGAACGATTGTTGTTGTTGCTTTCCCTTCTATTGATGGATAATCAAGTGAAAGTTATTTTACCGAAAGTCACCAATACCATCCCCGTCGTTCGATGGAGTTCTTATTCGCGATCGACCAGCTCGACCTCCTCGTCCTCGTTTTTATCCTCGTTGTCATCGTTCAAGGAAGAGGATTGCGCCGGATGCGCGCAAAACAAAGTCGGCCTGATCACCGTCACGGATCCAATTCTAACGGAACTAAGAGTCGAATATGTCAAACAACAAATCCTCAAGAAGCTACGGCTTTCCAAACCACCCGAGATATCGATGCCGCTCTCGACCTTGCCAAAGCCTCTGATAAATGGCCGTGTGCTCGAACTTCGACCCGGAGCGCCACTCGAACCGGAAAAATCAGTCGACAGTTTTTACGGAAAAACCGATCAGATTGTCGTCTTTCCAAACGAAGGTCAGTCCCTGTTAATTCCTTTAATTTCCATACGTGTACGTATATATATTATATTCGCCCTTTCTCGCCAACACATACCTTCGTATACCAATTCTAGAACGAGAGCAAAGAAAAAAAAAAAAAAACAGAGAAGACAGAGAATTATTTATTTAATTAATCGTTCGATAAAATTCGTTTCGAATCTTCTCTATATTTCTCCCTCTGTAATATATTTACGTTTCAATTTTATTTCCCGTTATTGCGATCACACGTTCTTTCTCTTTTACTCTTTTTTGACTCGATCAACGAATGCGTCGTAAATTTCGTCGTTCTCTTACTTTCTTTTCTTTGTTTTCGAATTACATTTTTCCCTTATCTCTAACGTATCCCCTTATTATTTCGTAATAAAACGAAAAATATGTTTATGGAACGACCAAAAAGTTTGAAAAAGAAAGGATACCTCGTTTGAAAGATATCGAAAATTATTCGATAATCACGAACGAATATAACGATTTATAGGAGAAAATGATATATCTGTATGTAGATAGGGAAGGAATAAACGGGGGATGATATAATTTCAGGTATCGCCGATTCGAAAAAGTGCCGGCAAAGATCTAACCATTTGACGGCGTGCTTCACGTTTTATCTACCGAACGAAATGCAATTTGTGGACGTGACCTCGGCGCAACTTTGGTTTTACAAGGAGTATGACGAGAATGACGACAGGAATCAAACTTTCGTACTCTCTGAACTCGATCATTGGGATTTGTATGGAAACTTTGAGAAAAACATGATCATGGCTATCTTCGAAACAGACATCAGAGGTGGGTCGAATCAAAGTTTCCCATTTCGTTCCACTTTTAAAGGACACGTCCTCCGTTCTTCCTTTCTTATTCCTTTATTATTTTTCTCTTACGTTATCTCTTATGTACAATTAAATTACCAATTTTGCCCTTTGTTTTCGATCCAAAGATCGAGCTGAGCTTGCTCGAAAACGTTGGATTGATAATGGCGGTGGATTGAAAATTGTGAAACGAAAAAAAGGAAGGGGGGGGGAGGGGGAAGAACGGGAACAGGAAACGATGGATAAATCGATGGATAAACGGATAAAAGGAGGGGAAGGAAGAAGGGGTAATGCATAAAGATACAGGGAAAAAAGTTGGCGAGAGCAAAACTATGCAAAGATAAAACGGTTTCAACTTAACAAGGACTTTAGACCGTGCTTCTCGCTAAAGACTTTAGACCGTGAAAGGGTATACGAAAAAAAAATGCAACGCTGTCACGATATAAGCATTTCGTACTGCATTACTAAAAGATCGCGTTACAGAATCCCACCGATATACGTTTATACGTCCAGCCTATAAATAACGCATTTTTACATTTTCCTCAATCGGCAAATTTCCAAGTCGCGTATATTTAAACGCGATTTAAATTGATCCACGCCCACGTCTTCTCGATGATTGATGAAATTACGATGACAAAAAATCGTGATATTACACTAAAAGAAAAGAGAAGGAGAGGGTGAGCGAAATGGGGGAACGGAATCGATGCTTCGAGTTATTCTTCGACGAAAGCGAATCTCGTTCCACGACAGGTGAATCAAAAAAGCCGAGTCGTGTAGAGGAGGGTAGCGGGACGATTAAAACGACCGTTGTCGATCGTTGTTTCAGAGGGATGGGTCAAGGCCGACGTGAGCTTCACCTTGAAGAAATGGGTGAAGGAGCTTCGGTTGAACCACGCGATACAGATAGCTTGCAGCACTTGCTCGATCGACCGAGACACGGCGCCTGTATCCATTCGACGAACTTTGAAACCTTTCCTCGTCATACACACATCCCCGTTACCGCAAAAAAACAGGCCAAAGAGAAACTCGAATTGCTTGCCGGAAATGAAGGAGTGCTGCAGGGACGAACTCTACATTAATTTCGAAGACATCGGCTGGAGCGATTGGATCCTCCATCCAAACGGATATCACGCGTACTTCTGCCGTGGATCTTGTTCTTCCGCAGCTTCGTTAACCATCAGTGGATCTCTCTACAATAATGTGATCAGAGTGAGTGATTTTTGTTGTTTTTCTTTTTTTTTATTATTATTATCTTTCACTACTAATCCTTATCGTTCAACGAATTGAACGTAATTGTTCTCGAAAACAATTATCGTATTATCGTATTATAAGTTTAATTATGGCAATTATTCTTGTTTCAGAAGTTATTGAGCAAAAATGGGAATACGATACATCGAAAGAACGAGATCGTTCCATGCTGTTCACCTACGCAATTATCGCCGATTCAATTGCTCTACGTTGATTCGAACAATACGATTACGCAGAAAACGTTGCCGAACATGGTAGTCGAAGCGTGTGGTTGTATGTGATTTCGAAAAATCGATCAATCCTTTACAATAATGTATGATGCAATCCTCGCACCAATCGATTTTTCCAGCTTCTTTCAATTTTCAAACTTCGTTGTACGTATGTACCTGCCTCGTTCGTTACGAGTAGACATGCGCGTGTCTACAAAATTCTCCAATGTTGAATATGAGAATAGTAGTACGTAAGTTTGCGACTTGTGGAATTAAGAAAATAACTAAGAAAACGTTACGTTATATTTAAATCGACGAAAAATCGTCTTTCAGAAAGATCAGAAATTATTGTGCGAAAATAGAGCCGAGAATGTGTACGTGCATAAATTGCCTTTGATCTTGGCTTTGATATCGAACGAATCGTCGTGTTACATTATATATACGTATATATATATGTATAGTATATATTATTTACGCTATTCTCATTATTATATATATATATATATATATATATATGTGTATGCAGAAATTTACCATTTTTTAATTTTTCGAGAACGATATTTATAAATTGATAAGTTGAATACAAAGTTGCGTAATGTTGATCAGGATCACATGTTTATATGCGTACATATTGCGTACATATTGCGTAAATAATCGAAACAGTATTCATTTTCTAGCTATATTTTCCGTTAACGTAAAAATCGTACGTTTAAACTATTAGTTATTTCATATTTAATCCAAAGACATTTGTATAATTACGCGTGCACGTTTTGATAAAATATATTTATTATTGAATCAAATCAGTTATATTAGAATAGATAAATAATCGTTAAAGCCAACGATAAAACTTGCTTCTATGATAAATTCGACTAAGTTCGACTATTTTTTTTTTTTTTTATGAAAAAAGTGATACAATCGTTCCCACTTATCCTACTATTCCTATGTTTACCGAGGGAATCGATGGTAGGATGATTCCGCACTATCATCGTATTTATTATCATTTAATTAAAACAATAGAAAAAAACAAATAATTAATCGATCAAATGAAATGTTATTATAACAGATATATTTTTATTCTATGTATACGTATCGATTCTAAAATACTTTGTTATTTTATTTTTGTTCCAAACGTCGAACATTAATAATAACTGAGAATTTGCAAATGCAACTACTAATGAACGAATGAAATAAAGATAAGATAGAGGGGCTAAAATATTTTATAATTACAAATCAAATATGCGATTTTATATTTCTGTAATATACTTTGTTCTCTTTATACAGATTCAATGAATAAACAATTGATTGGGACGCTGATTCTGAGTGAAAAATTAATATAGTTTATATGTTATGTGATCTATTTAATAATAAGAAAAATGTAAAAATAATTTCAAGAAAATAAATATTATAAATGATACTATAAGTGTGTAGAATCTCATAAACATCTTATAGACCAATGTTCCTTTATCTGAAATACTAATTATTTCAGATATATAAATATAAAAAATTTGATTAATGATATGAAAGCAGAAAATTATTATTGTTAAAAATATTTGAAAAATTTTACATTTTTCGCGAGATCGTCAAATTTTTATCCATTGAAATATATTCTGTACAATTTCGTTTCATATTCTATTTGATATAATATTTTTTACATAAGATTAGATTTTATAAACATTGTAAAAATAAGAATATATTTTTTTTAACATTAAAGATTAAAATATATGTAATTTTAAAAGAGGAGTATATGTTTATTCAATTCATATTCCGCATTCGATCATGTCTGGTCACGTGCCAATGGTAAATGTAAACAAGGAAAACAAATAGTAGGAAAAGGATAAAGATAAGATTATTTATAGTTTCATCTGAGATATTCCAGAAATAGCACTGATTTCCGAATTTTTATTCTTTTTTTATTCTTCTTTCGCTATTTCCTCTTCTTATCTATATTTACTTTGTAAAATTTATGCGTTCAAAAAACAACTTTGCTTTTTGCTGTTTTGCTGTATTTTATATAAAATACAATATATATATAATATATTAAGATAAATATATATGTGTCTTTGTTAAATTTTGATATAAACATTTATATTTAAAATAATATTGCTTCAATTTTTGCGTGACAAATAAAAGAGATTACTACATTTTGACCAATCAAAAAACTGTTATAGCTTAGTGACGAGATGAATCGATACTGTATATCACAATGCACGTGCCATCAATTTCAGTCTACGATTGAAAATTGGTGGTGACAAATCACATTTTATTAAAAAAAATGTATAATTACGTAAAATTTATATTGAGTATATTGATTGATCAATCAATTTATTTATTGATCATTCAGCTTTATTATAGATTATTTTATATATAAGCCTCATTTAAATACACTTCCTTCTTTTCTTTAATTTAATCATATATCGGAATTGAATGTCTCCATTATCTACAGATTATCGTTTAATTAAAGTTTCGAAGGCAAAATAGTTTTAAAAATGTAATGCTTTTTGAAATAATGATTTTATATAAATATGATTCTATTTATTTTAACAAAAATGTAGCGTCTTATTTTTCTTTTCTATCATAGAAGATAAATATTTCAATTATTTATTATATGTTAATTTATTATATTAAGGATTAAAGAAATATTTAGATGATAAATAGAATTTACAAATATTTAACATATTCAATATAATTTAATGTTTTATTCTTTCTTTTACAAAAAGGTAAGAGAAATTTTAATCGTAGATTGAAATTTTATTAGATAATGTGTAATATATTCTCATTTCAGTTTGTAAAGTTATGAAGTGAATAAGAACAGATTTTTATTTTGTACTTTTTAAGTGTACGTATTTAAATTATATCATGTTAGATGGCGTAAAAAATATTTTTGATCTATTTCTATTTAAGGTTGGTATTTCAAAATGTGATACAAAATTCTATAAGATGTCGCATCTATTCAATTTCTCGTTTATGATCGAATCTCGTTTATTTTCGAAGTTAAACCATAGAAAATATAAGCATAACAAAATTTATCTGATCTCTATATTGATATTTTAAAACATGAGATAATAGATAAGTTTTATAAATTGAACATTCTATTCTGTACATTGTCTTTGTGCAGGTGATATGTGCAATTTTCTCTTTCGCAAATGTTGTAAATGTTTGTAAATATTTAGAGCATCGTATATATTCATGGAACAAGATGTTAATCTCGGACGAGTTATAATAAATATAAATATATACGATGTTAAAAATGTATGCAATATTTTAAATCAATGTACAGCTAAGTCTATATATGGGCGCAATTTTAAAGAGTGGAATTAAAAAATTGTGTTTTCGCAATGCTATCCGAAGTTGACGTATTTATCAGTAATTATACTCTTGTTGATCCTGAAATATATCAACTTTGGGTTGATGGCCATTCTTGTAAGTTTGACAAACATAGAATTTTTTGTCAAATAAAATTATATTTATTTGCATTATAAAATTTGCAGTATAATTTATATGATTGTCCTTTATTAATTTAGCAAGCGAAGCAGTAAATATTTTACATCAACGAGGAATATGTCATCAAACAAATGCTCCGATTGAATTAGTAGCTTCTGATATTCTTGATCATTATCGGACTTATGCTCTTTTGGAAAAATTACTTCACACTCCTACTAAATTAGCGAGTGAACAACTCGCATTTCAAATAGAACCACAAACTAGTCAGATGCTTATCGAAATGTATAAACAAACTTATCTATTGCTTGTATTTTTCACATACATTTATATTTCTTTTTAATACATATATTTTTTTGATTACAATTTACAGGTACTATGAATTCGATGATGTTGTTATTAGAGAATTATTAGGTAAAAAATTAACATCGAAAAGTAGAAAAGATATGGATGAGGTATCGGAAAAAACAGGTATAACTTTGAAAAGTTGTCGTCGGCAATATGACAATGTAAAAAGAGTGTTCAAAGTAGTTGAAGATTTGCCAGGTTCTTTGGCTGCCAATATTGAACAACATTTTTTGCTCTCTGAAGATCTTGCTAAGTAACATTAAAAATATTATTATTATTATTATTTCTGTTATTCTTTTGTATTAATCTATGTATACATGTATTAAAAGATATATAAAATTTGATTTAACATTTACGATCGATTAGGCGATACGCCGCTGTGGTATTCGTAGCATGTCTTCGATTTGAAATGAATAAGAGAAAGCTTCAGTTTCTGACATTTCCTGATTTATATCATTGTGCCAACAGTATGATGTCATTATGGACATATCGTTGTGTAGGATCGGAATATTTTGATACTGATTTGGATAGAGAATTTTTGTTGGAGTTAGCAGAATGTAGGGTACTTTTGGAAAATGATAAACATCACAAACAGTAAGCTTATTATTCTTCTTTTTTTTCCATAGAAACTATAATTATATTATACGTTTAATTATAAATTATACACGGATTGCATCTTATTTCTTTACAGTTTGGTATGCATCAAGCTTAGACCTTTACTTTTAGAGCGTATTTATCAAGAGATAGATGCAAATTTTCGTTTGTATACAAGAGCTATTCTAGGAATAGGATGTAATCTTCATCGTTCCAGAGATTTACGATTTTTCTTCTTAGAATTAGTAGAAAGATGTATAGAACCATGGCGTCAAGTAAATTGGACACATACAGATCTCAGAAATTTTCTTTCAGTCTATACTCAATGTGCATTAGATATGGATGTTCTTAGGTAAAGAATAAACATTATTTTAACAGAAAAAAAATGTAACGATGTTTCCTTATAAAAATTATAAATACATAAAAATAATAATTATATATAAAAATTATAAAAATTAATTAATTAATTTCTTAAATATTTTATTTATTAGAGACAATGAATTGAGAGATGCTTTTGAACGTTATATGACTGTTGTTACATGTTGTTTATTGCGTATGTATCATACATGACTATTAACAACTAATGAGGAAAATATAATGCAAAAAATAAATGCAATTGGGAATGATGACAAGTAAAACGTAGAAAATAAAACAAATCGAGAAAGATGTAGCTATATTTATTTATTAAATTTTCATAATAAATAATTAATAAACAAATATGGTATATTTATTCATTTGTTTCATATACATCAGAATTTACAATTTTATCTGTCTATTTATTTACTTATTGAATACTTTTAAAAATCACTTTTAATGTAATAATTTAAAATGAGAAATATTACTCTTACTAATTCTTTATATGTATTTATTTCATGTGGCAGTATTTCAATAAGCTTTTTCTTTTATGTGCAAAGATATTAATTTACCTCAATAGATAGACTTTAAAAATCCTATGTTAAATTGTTCAAAATTCTATCAAGGAATCAAAGTATTCAATTTCTTTTATACATAGTATTATCTCGAATCGATCCGAGTTTGTTTTTACGCATCAGTATGTATAAATATTACTATACACATTTGTACATACTAACAAAATCAAATACTTATAATAAACACCATAAATTATTGGCAGCATGATGCCACAATGACATTTTTTTTATGTCTCTGGCATTTTACAGTCGAATTATTTTTTATTTTTCGCTATATTGATGCTACAATCTAACTATATTCTAATTGGACTATACATTTATATTACGAATTTTTATATATGTACAATTATTGGAAGTTGAATTTATTTTCTATTAAGCAACTTCAAAACAACTTCCTATTAATTGTTAATATATCTAATTTTTTAACTCCCTACCTATATAAAACTGTTTACTCCCTACCTATATGAAAAATCTACGAGAGAAAATCGTAATGTAGGAATAATTTGTGTAAAATTTGAATGAAAGAGTGAGAATGAGAGTGAGAGAGAGAGAGAAAGAGAGAGAGAGAGAGAGAGAGAGAGAGAAAGAGATGGGAAATTTTAATTCTTTTACCTAGAAATAGATATAAATAACTACTGTACCAATCCTAGTATTTTATTTACTGTATACACAATATCATTCGCTTGTGGCAGAGATGCATTTTCTAATGTTCTGGCATAAGGCATAGGTGAATCAACACCTGTAACACGCATTATTGGTGCATCAAGATGATAGAAAGCTTCACCTGAAAAAAACAAATATAAAATATAAAATATAAAATGTAAAATATAAACGTTAAATTTGCATGATTAAATTCTTTATGTAAAACGAATTAGGAAAACTTACTTTCCGAAATTCTAGCACTAATCTCCGCACCGATACCACATTGCGGCCAACCTTGTTCCACAGTTACAGCATAATTCGTTTTCACTACCGATTGTATAATAGTATCTATATCTAAAGGTCTTAAAGATCTAAGATTTATTACTTCTGCTTCTATTCCTTTCCCTGCAAGTTCATTCGCTGCTTGAAGAGCTTGTTCAACTGCTTTGGAATGTGCCACTAATGTAACGTGTTTGCCAACACGTTCAATCTTTGCTTTACCAATTGGCAAAATAAAATCTTTTGATAAAGCTTCGTCAGACATAGGGTATTGAACACCATATAATATTTCATTTTCTAACACAACAACTGGATCAGGATCTCGAATGGCAGCTTTTAATAATCCTTTTGCATCTTCGCTAGTATAGGGTGATACTACTTTTAAACCAGGACAATGACTATACCAAGCACCAAAACATTGTGAATGTTGTGCTGCTACTCCAGCTGCTGCCCCATTAGGTCCACGAAAAACAACTGGTACATTTAGTCGTCCAGCGGACATATAAAATGTCTTTGCGGCAGAATTAATAATTTGATCGATTGCTTGCATAGAAAAATTGAATGTCATAAATTCACATACAGGACGTAAACCAGCCTAAAATATTTAATTGTACAACAATTAGTGTTAGTACTATTAATAAAAAGAAAAAGAGAAATCAAAGAAATGATTTATGAAAGAAATTAATGATATATACCATAGCTGCTCCAACAGCTATACCAGCAAATCCTGCTTCCGTGATAGGAGTATCAATAACACGTTTATCTCCATATTTTTTCCAGAGGCCCCTAGAAACTTTATACGCTCCATCATACAATGCCACTTCTTCTCCAAGTAAAAATACTCTTTCGTCTCTTTCCATTTCTTCATCCAAGGCTGAATTTAAAGCATCTCGTACCGTCATCTATATCGAAATTATACAAATTAAGTAGAAAAAAAAAAAAAAAAAATAGTTGAAAAATATAATTAAAAAGCTTTACTTTTTTTCTTATAACAATCGACAATCATTACAAATAACAATACATACACAACATGAATCGAATATCATAAGTTTTAATACATAATTTATCATCGAATAATTGATCTCGAATATGGATGACCTTTATCGTCCTTCAACATATAATAATCAGATTGCATGATTTATTATAAATAATTATAATAAATTAGATAAAATCTTTCGTAATGCAACGAATAACTATATCTTTTACAAATGTTAAGTCTATTAAAGGATAAGAAAACCAATGGCGCGAGTATGATCGTGTCAAAGCAAAAATAGGTTATATTCGAACAAACGCAAGTAGAGAAAAGAATATTTGAATAATAGTCATTGTTAATCCTACCTGCTGCACAGCATTCCATTTTGACGTTGAAAATGAACGTCGGATAACTCTCGTTACAATTGACTAAAAATAATAAATAATCATAAATATGAATTTTTCATTTTGTTCTCAAACTATAAGCATGTCATATATTTTTTAAGATTTAAATTCAAGTTTATTCTTTGATCTAACATATATTTACCGAAAACATTGTAGCCGTCAAAAGATTGATAATAATTGATTAAATTTTAGATCGTTTCTATCGATTTAACTATTCTATAAGTCGTTATTCACATGAGTCGCCAGGGCCTCTGGTTCGTGACTCCGTCTTTACCATAAATCGAAATGCGGAACGGTACCAGAGCAGCTCAAGGTCAATAGGCAAACTCTTATGAAACCAATTTGCTATGATTTATGCGATGATTTATAATATATAATCGAAGGATAGATTATCAATGATGCAATTTTTTTGTATTTTAACTATTTTTGATACTTTTTCTTTAAGTTTTTTGTGAAATTATTAAAAAAATGTAAATATATTATTTAATTAATAACAATTACAATGATGACGACAATAAATAGAAAGCGCCACTTTTTCTGACCAATGATAAACCGTGGAGATTATGATCTGACCAATCACAGCTAATGAAGTAGTATTTTTTTTCTATTGAAGAACACGAGTAAATTCGCGGTTAATTTGGAATACGACAAAATATATAAGTAAAGTAATAATGAATATAGCACGAATATAAAATTAAAAACAAAAATTATTGTTTTTAATTTTAATTATTTGAATATAAATTATTCAAAATTATATCCAAAGATGAGAATAAATTTATTTTTCTTATTTCTTTTTTATTATTTATTTCGATTATTTAGACTCTTAAATTTTAATTATTTTCTAAAACATATAAATACATATAAATATATACATATATATGTATATAAATGTATAACATGTATTTGTACATACGTATAATATGTATATTATATATACTTATATATAGAATATATAGTGTTGTTTATTTTGTGATTATTTATTGTCAATTTCGGTTATAGATAAAAAGAAGAAAGAAAAAAAGAACGAAATAGGAAAAATGAATTAATAATTAGATTGTTGAAAATTATATTACATTATTATGCAATAATATCGTTAATAGCGCTTACGAACATTATGTTGTTTTATATATATATATATATATATATATATATATATATATATGTATATGTGCAACGTACGTTTGTTTCTTGTTGATTTGTCGCACAATGTCGCGAATGAATAAAAAAAGATTAAAGAATTTTGATAGTTATAGAAATATATAAATTTTTATGCGAACTATGTTTATGCGAATTAAAAATATGATTGAGAGATGAAAATAAATATTAAAAAAATATATATATAATATATACATAATATATTGAAATTAGCACGTGGAAATGTTACATATTAATTTTATTTTTAAAGAAAATATCGATCGATGAAGAATTTATGATTAATTAGATCGGTTAATCGGATTAATTTTATTCTCGAACGAAATCAAAATTGAATTACGAATCCTTAGATCAAGGAGACAAAATACCAACATTAGCACATTGTTTATTTACAAAAAGTAATCATTCATGGTACAATGACAATGCTATGTGAAAATGCGTGTTGCGTGCATGAAGATTGCCTTTATAGAAAATGTATATTAACATATATATATATATATATATATATATATATATGTTAATATTCATACAAGAATATTGTATGCGAAGATATTGTGCATCGTGATTGTATTTAGAATCTCGCGTTCCAAATGTACGTAATATTAATTGCTGAAATTAACGGAGGAAAAGAATGTTTCGTGAAACGTAATATACGAATGAATGACGAATATGACTCTCCGTGCATCGATATTTCGAGGAGGAAATTAAGTTTGGGTATACGTTCTAGATCGTGATATTATTCTTTGTCGGATTTTTTATTAACGAGAGAACAACAATTTCATAGAAGTTTAATCGAATAAAATACTAACTAGGATAAAAGATCATCTATTTTAATTAATAAAATCACGATAACGCAATCGAGATCAAGTAAGATAACAAAGAAAGGATCGAAAAGTATTGGGATTTCGTAATTCCTTTACTTTGTAATTGTAAAAGTAATTTATCTGTAAAATCGATATTTTGCTGAATATGTGTATGTCTGTATGTATACGTACGTTATATATAGCTGTAAAATAGAATAGAATAGAAAAATAAAACGGGAAGAAAGAATAAAAAAAAAGAGAGAAAAATGGATAGAAGAAGGAATGGAAGGATGAAGAAAAGATCGAAATGACTAGCGTATATAATACTGGGTTCGGAGCAAAAAGAGATCGTTTTTTGATCGTCCTAGTCTAATTAGCCGTAGATAACAGGAGAATCATCGATAGTAAGAATGACAATGATCATAATAATCGTAGTACCGTTAGCATCGGCTGTAAGTATGTTACAACTTGAGTTAACTTGAGTTTTAAAAATGTTCACTACTCTCGATTGTACGTTCGTTTTTCAATGTATCCGAGTTCCGATACAAATACCCGTCTCGTTGCGCATTTTTGACATTTAAAAAAATATATCGGTGACCATTTTGACAAAATGTATAAAAATTATAATCGCCATGATTTTATTAAATCATAAAGTTAATTCGTTTAAATTGGAAATATCGAATTGTTATTTATTATGCACGTTTATTTCGAAATGATTGATCGTTGTATTTACTTATGATAAACGATCACAACGAAGCGAAGTGAACCATATTTAAAGAGAGATTGAATTTTTCGATGGAATTTTGATTTAATTGTATACACGTATAAGTGATAATTTATCGAAATTGTTACAATACCAATTACTATATTGCCAATTGATATATGAAACATATATTTAGCTAACGATCTACGGGTATCGATACGAGAGAATACGTAAGGCATCTCTGATAAGAAATAGTAAGAGATAATTATAACGCGTTATCGCGTCAAGAGATTCAGATACCGAAATAATAATCTAGGAAATTTGTTTACACGAAAGAGAATCGAACAATAGAGTTGTATGTTTTATCGGTGACACGGTTAAAAACGCTTGAGCACGGGCGCAGGCCTGGTTCGGCGTACGTGTCATACGATTGGACGCATTAAGCGATGCTTATAAACATCATTTCAACGCGCTAATTTACACGATATAAAAATCTCCTTTTGTCTGTATCGTTTTCTCGCTAATATACATATATTGTATATATATATGTACATTTTTTATATATATACAATATATATATACATATATACACACACAAATAAACATCTATCAATAACTGTTCTTGAATGCAGCACGCATTCTCCTCGAGTAAGGTATATGTATTTAAATAGAGCTATCGCATTTCGTTCATCAACGTTTCTCTATTTAATGACTAACGTTTGTTTCCTCGTGCGTTGAACGGGAACGAAACGATTAAACGTATAAATGTATATGCATTTGTTCCATGCACATTGGAAATGGCCAAAGTACACATCGATCGGAAGACACACATCGAAATCTTTTATAAACAATTATTTTTTAATACTTTTAGTTGTACGTACGTACGTACGTACGTACGTACGTTCGTTCGTTCGTTCGTTCGTTCGTTCGTTTGTTCGACGATTCGATACATTCTCTATTTTATACGTAACTTTGAATTTTATTTTCGTATCATTGAGATTATATATTAATATCAATATGCGAACAATTTGAGGTAGACAAAATATTTCGAGGCGTCAACGATCGTTTGATTTCGTATTTAAATATTTAATATTTACGAAAAAAAATCATGACTGTGCTCAACGTTTTTTTTATACATCGAACAAATTCATATAATACAATATTTATATATATATATAAAGATCAAATGTTAATTTTGAATCGTCGTAATAACAAACGAAACTTAGAAACAAGTATTCGTTGACAAGTTTTCGTTTATAGATGTTAAATGCTTTATATAATATATGCATATTACATCAGAAAAATAATAATCGAATAACATTAGATATTCCTGTGATAAAGATATTAATACAACGGATAAAAGAGAAATTTGTAGATAGATGAAGAAAGAGAGAGAGAGAGAGACGCGAAAACGAAATTTAACATAATAAATAAATACGATTAATGAATATTGTATAGTAAAACTTTTTCTTGCGCGATATATATATATATGAAATTCTCGTTCAATCAAGATTTCTGTATAATAATCGTTTGGAGAAAATATTTTCGAAATAGATGTTAAATTAATAATTAAAACGGTGGATCGACAGATTTGCCGCACAAACGAGGTATATTATTTCTATATAAGTTTGATCAAAAGATATATAAGTAGAAAGTACATATTTATCGATGCACAGATGGAGAAAGACAAAGGAAAAGACCTTTCGACGTTACACCGATCGCGTTCGCACTCGTTCTCACGTTACTTGTTTACGTTTTGACCAAAACGACGTAAGAAATCGATAAAGATTCGAGATAAAAAGCGTGATGCTTTCGTTTCGGGACACGAACAATCGAACGTAATCGAACAACGAAACGAAGTTTTGTCGAAAAGTCTATATAGAATTCGTGAAATCTAACGATAAGGGTTGTCCTTTCGATCGATTGTAACGAATGACGATTCTTCTTCGAAGAATGCTTTAATTCGAACAAATTTCTAAAGTGTACTATGGACAATCCTGCTGTCGAAACTTTTGTTCTGTTTATATACATATTTATAGACGAAACAATCTATTAGTTCGATATAAAGTTATCATGAACAAATGTTAAAAGTAATAATAATCGTAATAATCGATTATGATTGAACGATGATAATGATAATAAGGACAAAGATGAGAATAACATAGAATAATAATAATAATAATAATAATAATAATAACAACAATAATAATAATAATAATAATAATCAGTATCATCGTAAAAATTATAATTTAAATATGGTAATAGTACGAACAAGAGAAAGAAAAAAGGATAAAAGATCGAGAAGGGAAAGAAAATGAAGAAGAAATAGAAAATAGGAACGAGAATATGATAATACTGAATAATAAGATAAAAATGATAAAAGATAAAAATGAGAAAAAGATAAGCGATAATAAAATAGCGATAATAAAATAATATAAAAAGAATGATCAAAACCAGCTAGGTCCACCAAATTTTGTCGAAAAGCCACCAATGCCCTTGCCAAACATGCTCCCAACTTTTTCAACAACGTTCGAAGTAACGTTGCTGATAATATTCGCGTCCTCGCTGTTGACCGTTTCCACGACCGTTACCTTTGGTTTTGGTCGTTCTACCTCGTCATCGTTACCGTTCTCCGAAAGACCTCTATGGAATAAGAAAGATGGAAAAAGAAACGTGTATCTTTGTTCTCGGTAGGTAAAAAGAAGATAGGAAAAAAAAAAAAAAAAAAGGTAACGTAAAATAAAAAAAAATACTCACTCTTCGTTCTGAACGCTCGTTAAGGCACAAGACGCTTCTTCCGTTTGCATCCTCTTAGATATAGTCTGATATGTCGTCGAATTGAGTTTTTCCTCTATAACACCTTGTAACTCAAAGTCCGAGTAAATTTTTTTTACGATATGGGCCAAACAGGTACATTGATATAGATGTAAGCTATGGTCGAGTCTTTCCGAGAGCCACGTGCACAGCATTTGAATTTGCGCCGTGTACCATTGCTAGAGTGAAGAGAAAAAAGTAAAGAGAATTAAGAAGAAAGAAGAAAGAAGAAAGAGGGGAAGGGAGGAAGAAGAGGGGAGAGAAACTTAACGGTCTCTGCGAACATAGAAAGAACGTAGAATAACGTAACGTGGTTTATTTTTATTACCTCGAAGAACGTTAAAATCCATAATTCGTCCAAGACTTTGCCACGAATTTGGTCCATGCAATTCCTCGTAAAGCTTACGTAGGCCTGTCCCATTTCTTTCCCACTTCCCGATACCTTCTAAAAAAAAATTTTGTAAGCGGCTCGATCATCTGGATGGTTGGTAAAATAACCATGAAACAAAAAAAAAAAAATACCGTCAAACTGAGAATGGAACCTATGAAGGATCCCTCGTCGTAACGGGACAATTTGGATAAGGTCGTCTCCAATACCGTGACTAGTTTGTTGATCATTCCTTGGGTCATAGCAGCCGAAGTTTTCTCTATCAAATCGTCGATTTTCGCGTGATATTGGTGCTGAAAATAAATTAGGGATCGAGAATAAAGAATAATAAAGAGGATAAATCGGAATAATCGGACGGAGAGAAACGAAGAGAACGTTACCACGTCGACGCCATCGATGGTGCACAGTTCGAAACTTTGGTTTTTCGCGTCGAGAATAACGTTTACCATCGCGCACATTTCCGACGGTATGATGTAATCGGTCGAAATAAAAGTCACGCCTTTCTTCAGCCACTGTTGAAACGCGGCATCCGTTCGTTGAATGCAAGTTTCGATCATATCACAAGCCATTAACGTTAATCTTTGCTCTAGATGCTGGCGAAATTCTTGATCTGGCCAATGAAGATCGCGGATGAAAGATTGAAGAGCGTCCAATTTCCAAAATAATTCGCCGGAAGTCGCGCATCCGTTTCCCTTTATCTCCCAACGCTCCTTCTCGAAACCTTTATAAATCGATTGTGCGATCGAGGTTTCCATCAAATCCACGTAACGCACCACCATAGGAGAAAAAGTATCGCGAAGATGCTGGTGAAATCTACCGTTCTTCAAATTATCTACAAATAAGAAACAAATATTTTTCTTCTTCTCTTTTAACGAGATTCAAAAGGAATGACAACAATAGAAAAAAGAAAGAAAGAAAAGACACATATAAGAATAATATTATTAAAATTTTATTAAAAAGGAAAAGAATATTAAAAAAAATATTATAAAAAAAAAAAATGGTACGTACCATCTTCTCTCAGATAATCGTTCAAGATTTTAAAGAGTGGAAAACTGTCCCAAGTATCCCGTGGTTGTTCGGCGAGCACTTTGTCCATATCGTCGGCAAACAAAGACCAGAAGATCTCGGCATGCTCCACCATAAGATCGCTAAACCAGGCGAACGCCTGCGGTACAGTGTAGTAGGAGCGACTCGTGAAAATATTGGACGTCACACATATGTACATATACGAGAGGGTATTGTCAGGGGGCGATGGAATCGTCACCCTGAATCGAAGAATCCTCGAGTAACGGTAAATACGATCAATTTAAATCGTATACAATCTGATCTTTAAACATAATCTTGCAAATTTAAACAAAAATTAACACGTATACGGGATACACGTTAACCAAAACGAAAGTATATAAAGAATAAAAAAATTTGAAACGTGCACACGTTATAAATATTCCGTATATCTTTTCAAATCATATCGATCGATTCGATTTGGTAAGTAAAAATGATAGGAATGGACGCGAGACGTGATCGTGATTACCGTTTATCCTTTCTTATTCTAACGTGCGATCTTACTTCTCGAGGATCCAAGAGAAGATGATACTCAGTTGTAGAAACCCAACTAATACCTTCGAATAGTGCTCCCCGTTTTGTTGAAGTAGATCGACGCACATGTCGGCAAGGTGTATGAGATCTTCGAGTTTCTTGCTAGGCGGGACGCAAACCTCACCGCTGAAATCATCTTCGATTTTCGCTTCGGCAGAGAGCTTCGTATAATTGACGAGAGCGGCCTTCTCGAGACAATTCTTGATCAATGTCTTCACTTCCTCTTGAGGCACAGGACTGACGCCATCCTTCATCATCACTCGTTCCAACAGGGACAAGGTAGCCTTTAACGCGCCATCCGGCCGACCGAAGGGAAAGCTGTATCTGTGTTTTTACGAGATTAATTAACGAAATTAACAAAAGTTAGGAATAGGAAGGAAACGAATCGTTGTTATCTTATAATACGACGAGACGTTCGTTTATACCTGAAATTGGTAATTTGTTCTTCGAGAATTTGCCTGAGTCTCTCTTTGATGTCTTGAAACTTTTCCTTCTCCTCGTGAGTGATGGAACCGACTCGATCCGTGCGATTCCCGTAAACGTGAGTGGCGCAAAACGCGAAACTAAAGTGAATCAGGGTTGGATCGATCATTAAACCGCGATCGATTCTATCGAGTAAGTCGTTCAAGTAGCATAAATGTCGAAAACATCCTCGAACTCCGTATCTGTGAAACGAAACGAAATGGAACGATATTTTTTTTTTTCATATATATATAAGCACATATATAAAAAAATATGTTGGATTATATATATATAAGCACATATGTAAAAAAACATATTAGATTATTTTGCCATGTAATCGTGTGAAATCGTTTTACCTCGCGCAGTACTCGTCCAGAACGAATACTTGACCGGGTGAAAACCAACCGAGAGAACAGTACGGATCGTTCAATCGATAATCCAGAACCAAATTTTGCAAAAATTTGAAGAGGAAGTGATGATCGAACTTGCAAGGATCCGCGCTAATGTAATCCTCCATTCCATGCTTTTTCGCTCGATCGGCGTCTCCCTGTATCTTACTGATGGTGGAATTTTTGTCCGCCACGGATACAGGCGGGGTCGGTTTATGGGATTGACCGGTCGCTCTGTACATGACCATTACCCAAGTTTGACACTCGTTCTCGTCATCCGCGGCAAATACTATATTGTCCCCTTCGCGAACAGCGTTAAAATAAAATCTGTGAAAAGAATTGTATCGTATCGCGTCATAATGATTTTCGATCAAATACAATTAGATACGAATGCTAAATATTAAATAATTCGATCGATCGAGTTTGATAATAACTCGTTACGATAGTGTGGACAACGCTATTGCGTACCTTCCGTCATCTAAATCCATGCCGACCATCAGATTGGCCGAAAGAGGTTCGATATAATCAACCGTATAACCGTCGAGTTGCATCATCTCCGATGGCTCGCTCCTTCTCTCTTTATACGAGCACATTGCGAACGTGTATTGGGAGACTTGGACCAACACGTGGTATCGTTTCTTCCATTTCTTCCACACGGATTTGCCCATCGCGTAAAGATAGCCACAATGTTTCATGTTGAACGGTTTATCCATTCGGCAACCAACTTTGATGAGAAGTTCCTGATCGGGACAATTTTTCGGGACAGACATTCGATACCATTCCGGGTGTTTACAGGAGAACGGTGTAGGTCGTAGATTCACTTTGCCCAGTTCTTTGTCCTCGAGTGCGAGCATCGCCGAATTCTCGGTATAGAGTCGAACCTTGACCAGCGGTAGAGGTTGCATGGTGGTAAAATCGCCTTGAGTGTCCCACCTGTAAATCGACGCGGCGAAAGAGAGAAAAAGAAAGAGAGAGAGAGAAAGAAGACAGAGAGGAGGGGGGTGGGAGAAGGAGAGAAATGGAAAGAAGAGAGAAAAGAGCGAGACGAAAGCGAAACGAGCGAACGAGTGGCGAAGGATGACAAAAAACGACAGAAAAACGAACAGAGTTTTTTGTCGATTTAAAACGATTCCGCTCGGACGTTATTTTCGCTTCGAGTACGACGCGAAAATATACTATTTTCGGTTCGTTTTTCGAATGTAGGTTTCGAGGATAGATACATTCGTTACTACTCACATAGGTTTCGAGGCTTCGGCGTGATCGGTTTGCAGCTTTTTACCACGATCGACTTCCATCGTGCAATAGACGATCTTATTGGGTGGTAAACTCTTCAAGCCCCTGACCTCTACAACCACGACAGCCAATTGGAAGGTGAGGCCTACGTCCATTTTGGTTAGCTGTGGTTCCGAGTCAGCGGAGTCGCTCTCCAATTTAACGAGGGAACCCTGACCGCGGCAGCGGGAGCGCTCACGACGGTGATTGCAGCGCTTCAGCTTCTGCAGCCCGTATTTGCTGTCTGTCGAACCTTTCGAGACTGGCAATGACTCTAAATTAGCCATCAACAGGTTGATAGACGACTTTAGTTCCTCGATGTAGAGCGACTCCATTTCTTTTACGAGAAACTTGGGCATAAGCTTGCGATTCTATGGAAACACGTAGGTATGTTGGAATTTGAAAATGTAATGAAAGAGTGAAAGAGAGGAGGGAAAAGAGGGGAGGAAAAATTTGAACTACCTTTTCCATCTCGTTGACCTTTTGGAGGCGACCATCCAGCTCCCTCCTGATGGCGGCAGCCTGTTCGTCGGCTGAATCCAACAGGAGGGCGTTGAACAGAAGCTGATGTTCGAACTTCTTGATGCCAAGAATTTGCTGAAACATGTCGTACAGCTGCTCCTTCGGCAGAATCATCTCCGAGATCAAAGACTGTTGTTGCATCCTGGAGGGCCTCTTGGTCTCCTCGTCCCCCGTACCTTTCATGATACAATCGAATTTGGCCAACCAGGACGTAAGTACAGTCTCTTTGCTCAATCCATCGATTTCCGGGAAGCGTAGAACACGAATCTTTATGTTCTCCTTGAACACCTCACGGAAGTCGAGTTGCGAGCAAGCACCGCTTTGAACCATTTGCATCACACGATCCGACGTTAGAAACACATCGTAGTAATTCTGTATGGCATTTCGAAACGCTTCATCCGCCATTATTTGCGTTTCTCCCTTTAGGAAACTCTGTAAATTATAATGAAATTTAATTAATCTCTCTCTCTCTCTCTCTCTCTCTCTCTNTATATATATTTTCTATTTTTAAGAATTCTAGAATCAAGGTGAATCAATTCATCGCTATCGGCCAGGAAGAATTCATAGACGATTTCGCGCATAAAACGGTATACGGCTTCTTCCATCGCTTACGTTACATCTTATCCAAAAGGTTTCTTTCGTGCGATCTTTCTTTCTTTATCATTTATATAGATATTTATATACTATATTGAAATCGCGATTATAAGAGCAGATGTATAACTAAGTAAATAATTGCGCTTGAGATAAGGAATAAGAAAAGAAGAGAGAAAGGAAGGAAGAAAGAAAGGAAGGATTACCTGAAAACGAGAACATATCGTTTCGAGTTGTTGCTTGGTCACTTTTAACGGACGTTTCGTCATATCCAATGGTTGTTTGGCGTTAAACGGATATGCAACGCATCTCGATACGAACACATACAGCTGTATCCTGGTCTTTCTTTCCTCTTCTTCTCGCTCCTGTTTGTCCTGTGAAACGTACGAAAATTATTAACAAAAGATTAACATAAAAAAGAAAAAAAAGAGGATAACGGAAAATAAAAAATAAAATATAAACCTGAAGATCGGTTTCGGTTTTCTCGCTGGCGACAGAGGGCGAGGGGCTGGTAGGTCTCTGAGCGTAACTAGCCGCATCCTGGGCAGCAGACATCGACGGCGATAACGAGTTTCTCGCCGCGGAGAGAGAGGAAGATGCGTCGGCATCCTGACCGGTACCCCCGCCAGCTCGAGGTGTCCCGATCGGTCCGTGGATCGAGCCTCCTGGGGAGGCTAACGAGCTCACGCTACCCGAAACGGGACCGCTCGCGGTGGCGAGGCTCCCTCCGGGTCCAATCTGTCGCCGGGATCCGTACGAGCTACCGCTCCCTGCGCGAGCTCCACCGCTGCCTCCGCCACTACCGCCACCGACACTTCCGACGTGTTGAGAACTCTGGTCCTCCTCGCTTTCCGACTCCGACGAGCTCGGATCGATCATTCTGCTCCCTCAGGATATATACTTTTCGATATTTCCTTTTCCAATCGGTTATCAATCCCTTCTTCTTTCCGTCCGCCACACCTACGATCCGATCAATTTCTTTTCATCTTGGAATATTCATATATATATATATATGTATACACACGCACGCGCGCGCGCGCATACACATATATACATATACACGTTCTTGCGTGTATCGATGCACGCTCGTAATCAAGATAATTAAAAAAATATTAGGAAGAGATAGAGATAAGGAAAGAAGAGATAAGAAAGTTGGACGGTTGAAACGCAAACGAATATCGATTGCCATCATTCGTTCGTTCGTTCGTCTCTGTTCAATTCCATTTTCTTTGTTGCTCTATCTATCGCGTCACTCTAGTACTTCCTTGTTCGATCAAGGATTGACTTGCGCGAGGATCGAGTCACGCGAGATGCACGCGAAACGAAACGCGGCGATGGTTGATTCGAATTGGCGATCGTTGACGAGCGCGACAATTGTTGCGAGACTAAATGAGTTGTCGGTTTCGAAAAACCTACCTTAGAGTGAATCGCGTGCTCGTTTACGAGTATACATTTATATGAACTTCAACCAGTTATATACACATTTAACCACAGATATGCAAATATCTGTAACGCAACGTAAATAACGCTTGTAACATGTCAGTGTCGAATGCCGGTTTAAATTCGAGTTCAATCGCCGACTTAACGATCGTGGCACGGTCACGCTTTTTACGCTTTATATTTCACGCGCGTTTTTGCCTTTGTTTTCCTTCCTTCTCAACGTCCCGTATTGGCCCACATTTCCGCGCATTTCCTATTCTATAAATAACACGTACACGTGGTTCCTCCTTGATACGTTTCGTATCGATTCTTCTTATTCTTAGTGCGTTCAATGTTTACACACACCCTCTCCTCTTCGATTCAACTCTCGTTAATATTTTTCACGCGTACGTGCGTTTAAATATACAAACGTTCGAACTAAATTGTATATAGTATATTATATCTATATCTATCGTATCTATTCGTGATCGAGGATCGCGTGTTTCTATTCTTTCGATCGCATTTATTTTTTTTATGAAGATAACGAATATAATGTTAATGAAAAATTCGACTATCAACGAGACGCATTATACACGCAGTTTATATCGACACTTCCGCATCGATATCAACGGGTAGAAACGCGCGCAACTACCGGCACCGGTACAGCTCATTATCATAGATATACTTTTCACTCGTAGATATCCTTTTACAAATTCTCGATATGCTAATCGTTTTTATTTCATTATTCCTTAATCGTTTTCATTCCTATAAAACTTGTGTAAAAATCAAAGCTCTTTTTGTTACGAAATTTTGTCGTCGTCAAATGAAATTGAATTTATGTTTGTACGCGAAACGTAATGTCGTCGATTCGTTGCGAAACGCGAAAACGAAAGATCGTATCCAGTGTTGAAGGGTGTGTCGCGACACGCAGGAATAACGAAACGAATCTACTTGTTGGAGCGAATCTCTCGCTCTATCTCTTTCCCTCTTTTGCTTATTGGCATACAGTCGCTCGTGTCCTATCGTATTCCCATTTCCTCTTTTGCACTCTCGTTCTCTTTCGTGCATGCGCACGTGTCACAACTTTTGCGATCGTTATTACAAACCCACTGAAACCAACCTTTTTTTTCAAGCAATACACGGCCACAGTGTCCCCGAATATCGACAGATCATCCTGTGTTCATGTTATCGCGCTCGAATACACTCAGAATCTTGTTTTGCGTTACAAATATCAAATTATTCGTTACTTTTCTAGACGCGTCGTTATATGACAACGCGATCTATGAAAGAGAAAAAAAGAAAGGGATAGTTTAGAGTTTTCTCTGATATATACGATTTACAAACTTTCCACCGTTATTAACAAGTGTGAACGAAGGTTAAAGAGAGTGGACGGATTGAACTCTCAATGATCACGACGTGTCCCAACGTTACTCGACCGCCTTCGTTCGTCTACTAACCAACCACCGATATGATAGCGCCGACGCTAGTGACACCGACACTGATGTCCTGACGCCGACGCCGACGCCGACGCGGCCACTGACGTTGCACATCACTGGGGAAACACTCGCGAGGATAGAGATAAACTTTCGGCAACAAAGAAGAGAAATAGACTGATGGAAGAAAAAAAAAAAGATAAGTGAATATGTATTCAAAAACATCGTATGTGAAATGTGTAGCAGTCAACGAAATAACGATGGAAAATGTCATATCATTTTGTGAAAAGTACGATTACACGCTTACCTCGATGAATGATCGGAATAGAAGAGAAAATATTCCTTGTAAAAATAATCGTCTGTACTTTGGAAATCTAACTTGAAGTGGAAAGAGGAAGAAAAAAGGAAGAAAAAATAGTCTTTGATCAAAATAATTGTAATAAAATAGGAGCGAAAATGTGAAAAGGGAGCATAAAGTAAATCGAGTTGAAGAGTGGAGGAACAAATAGAGAATGGGGTGTGTCAAAGAAGGGGATTAAAAAGAGAGGTAGAGAGAAAGTAAGAAAGACGGGTTGTAGGCAGAAGCAAAGTGGCAGTGGGCCATCGATTGGTTGCGCGCGATTGTCAATGTTGGCGGTCATCCGACGTTACTGCCATCGTGTCGCAGCGCGCCGTCTTTTTTCTCTTTAGATATCGATGTAATATACGTATCTATCTATATATTTTTTTAAATAGTTTATTCTTTTCTTCTTTGCTCTCTCTCTTCTTTGTCATATTCTATTTTAATTTATATTTAATAAATTTTCGAATAAATTTTTCGTTTATCAACGATTAATAAGGTTAACTCCATCAATAATTGAACTTAATCGATGTGTTATAAAATAATTATTTCTCATTTCAGCAAACAAAAACTCTCGTTTTTTTGAAAGAAAAAACTCACATGGTTTTTTAATCCAAAAAAAAAATCCTGATTGACCATTCATTAACAAACCAACACGTTTTCTCGGTGTTTTAGGTCAAGTGGATTCTCTCTAGAGTCTCTCTAGTGTCTAGAAATTCTTACTTTAGTTAGATATTTTAAATTCTAGAAAAAAAAATATTTATTCTTGTTATCATTTTACATTTTAATTGAATGTTTTCAAATAAATTTCGTAATATTGCTTCTTTGATTATATACATCGACTTACAACATTATTACTGCAAATTTTTTTTTAATCGATTTATCGATTCTCGAAACATGTGCATCTAATTTAAAATAAAAAAAAACAATAATTTCGTTTGAATAAAATTACGAATATAAATGATACTAAATATGATTACAATATTTTTCGATTGCAAGAACGCATAATATTTATCCAAAGATTTATTTTTTATTTTAATATGTTACTCTTATAAGCACATTTATTCTTTTCGATAATATATATAATTAATCATCTATATATATAGATGATATTTCGATCGATATTTAAAAAAAAGGAAAACCAAATGAATCAATTCGATATATTGCTACAAAAAACCTGTTATAACGATTCAATAATTCAAATTGTTAACAATTTATCTTATTCAGTCAGCAATATTTTTTTGTGAAAACATTCTTGACTTAGGATAAGGTTACGCCATTTGCTTTCTCTTACAATAGGCGTAATCAGTTGAAATTCTGGCATTTTGCCAGTTACAAAAAAATAGGTTATTGATCAAACGTTTGTGTTTAATAATCTCGAATTTGCCGAAATACCTAGCAAAGTGTGCATTTTTTTTTATCTTTCAATTCCTTTCATTTTTATTTCTCCTTATAATATTTTCTTATTTATTCGTTTATCATCTTTTTTTTAAATTTCACAATATAAAATAAAGTATTTTATATTTATCGTTCATTTTATAAATCCGATATATATATCCGATTACATTTAATTCGAATCACATAAATTTTCTAGTCTTTTCTAATCACAAAATGCAAATTAAAATTAATAATCTGATAATTATTTACTAAAAAGAAAGATCAATCGCTTTCTCGATTTTCATAAAATGGACGAACGAATGGAAATATAAAAGTAACAATAACGACATCTCGAAGAGAAATAAGGAAATAGAAATATTCAATAGAGAAAAAAGTATCGTTCGATAAGTCTGGTTCAATCGAATATCTCGTTTGAAAACGAGAATCTTGCGATTTTCGATATAAAGTCGATGATGATTGATGATCGGAAATTCAATGTCATCGATATGAAATATGTCGATATTGTGGTAAAAAATAAATACAATGGCAGTGAGAACGATTCTTTTATCTTACGAAACGTATGAAGTTACGTAAATTCGTTTGTGTAAATATTAATCCATCTTTTTCGGATAGTTGGACTAAAAAAACCAGGTTGTTTGTTACCAATGTGTAACACAATGCATGAAAGATCAAGATATTTTGATTAAAAGATCAACACGCAGATTGTAAGAAAAAAAGATTTTAATGATTGCTGCTACACTGACCGACCATCTGTTCTAAATACGCTAGATATCATGAGACGAAAATGAAAGAAAAATCGAAATATTTTTCCTATAATCATCTCAAATGAAATAATATGAAAATAATCCCTTTATCTAAATACCTGTCAATTAGTTTTGCAACATTCGACACCGTTGTGGAAGAAACTCGTAACATTGTTAACCCGATCGGATAGCATAATAATAATGTAGATGAAGAAGAAAGAAAAATTCGAAGGAATAAACAAGGAATAAACGGGTAAAAAAAAAAAAAAAAATCACCATGTATCAATTACTACATTTTCGTAGTCGTTCTTTACGAACTGTTATCCTGGGATTGATTTGTTTGACTTTTTATGCATATTATCGCACTTATTACGATGTCCCTCAATATAATGTATCACGAAATGTCAGTAAGTATGCTATGCTGGTATTCGAATAATATTTTATGTTTACTTATGAAAAACGAAATCAATTTAATATTTATTGTTATCATTGATTGATATATCTTAACATATTTAACATAAAACTTTGTATTTTATTCAGGTCGACTTACATCTCAGGAAATTTATAAGCAACGATCAAATGTCACTATAGAGCTTCGTATAGGATCTTTGTCCAAGAATGATTCCCCTGAATTATCAATCGTCGACACTTATAACGTACAAAATGTTAGTAATCTTTCAAATTCTTTGATTACTACGCAATCAACATCTAGCTCTCAGACGACAAACGTATCGATTCTTGTTTCCAAGCAAAGCAACGAAAAGTCACAGACACGAGTGGAAAAGATCATAAATGAGACCAAAGATGTCTCTGTTCCTTCAAATGAATGCTCTGCGCGTGCTATTTATGAAGCTGGTCATATGGTACCAATTCCAGAAAAATGCCCAAATTTTGGTAAAGAAATGGATCTGGTAATCATAATAATGTCTGCACCGACCCATCTAGAAGCTAGGATGGCGATACGACAAACATGGGGTCATTTTGGTCAGAGAAGTGATATCAGTATCTTATTCATGTTAGGTGCAACTATGGATTCCAAAGTGGAAACGATTTTGAGAAAAGAGCAAAAAACTTACAACGACGTGATACGCGGAAAATTTTTAGATTCCTATTCCAATTTGACGCTTAAAACGATATCTACTCTTGAATGGGTGGATAATTATTGTTCCAAAGTTAAATTTCTTTTAAAGACTGATGACGATATGTTTATTAATGTTCCACGTTTGCAAGCTTTTACAATTAAACATGCGAGAGATAAAAACGTAATATTTGGAAGATTGGCTAAAAAGTGGAAACCAATTAGAAATAAGAAAAGCAAATATTTTGTGTCTCAAGCTCAATTTAAACATGCCGTATTTCCAGACTTTACTACCGGACCAGCATATCTCTTATCCAGTGATATTGTGCGTAAATTATATGATGCTGCATTGGATCAAACGTATCTTAAACTTGAAGATGTTTTTGTGACTGGTATAGTAGCGGATAAATTGGGAATAAAAAGGACACACGCTAATGAATTTTTAAATAAAAAGATTTCATATAGTGCGTGTAATGTTCAACGAGGCATTAGTATTCATATGGTCAAATATAGCGAACAATTTGATCTTTGGAAAAAATTATTTGATGGTAAAAGTAAATGTAAATGATAAACAGCGCTTAAAATAATAGATATTCCATATCCTATTTGCGCGATACATCATTTGATTCTCGTATGACGATCCATCAAAATACACCATTCGACTGTTCTCAGTTAGATGCAACGTATAATAAATTAACTTTTTTTCATTCGAATATTTAATTAATCGTAATAGGAATTTTTCTTTTTCTTTTTTTTTTTTTTTTTTTCTTTTCTTTTTCCTTTCTATTTCTTTCTTTTTCTTTAAATCAAGAAGGAACAGGAACCAGGAATTGAAATTATTATTTAATGTAATAATATAATTGTGTCTTTTATATTCGTGAATGTACAATTCGTGGTTTTATGCCTTAACTATATATAATATAATAATACTCATTTAATACTCATTATAGCGTACTTAATATTTTAATATTTTGTAATAGGATTAGAAAAACTTCCTATTTGCACAATTTCGATATTATTAATTTCGATTGAAGTTTGTGTATTCATGACAAAACGCTAATTGAGAATTTGCGGCTATTTCTGTTAAAATATTTTTCGGAAATAGGCTTTTGTTAGATATTAATAGAAATAATGCAACGATTTAATATGATTACAGAATCGATTATTTATTAGATAATGATATATACTTATATACATAAATAAATTACAATAGATCTTTTTTTATTTCTACGATAAAATACATTATCAAGCGATCAACAATATAATATTTAAAGTATTTTATCGATAATCTTGACAAACTTTCGAGCAAGTTTATTGAATAAACAGCCTGTATAATTATTAAGAATATATGATTTGACGCAAGATCTTTATTTCTCTTAAAAAAAAAAAAGAANAAAAAAAAAAAAAAAAAAAAAAAAAAAAGAAAAAAAGGAAAGAAAGAAAGAAAGAAAGGAAGGAAGGAAGAAAAAGAAGAAGAAGAAGAAGAGGAAATAATCGCAGTTTTGTAATTTAACATTCGAAGGTGTATATGAAAGAACGCATTTATCGTATGATTGATTGTGTATTATGCATGTACTGGTTTGCGATTGATCGAAATGGATTGACTTTCTTTTTTGATTGAATTAATGAATTTTGAAAAATCACGAAAATATCATATTATTTGAAAATGAATGTTTTCCATCAAGAAAAGATACAAATGAAGCAATGACGAATATCTGGGAAGAATGAAACGTACAATATAAAAATTAAATTATATGTATTGTACTTATGTGCCAGTATTATTGGTCGTGCATATCAGTACATAATACACGAAACAATGAATAATGACTTAACATTATTTTGTAACATGCCTTCCGAAATGACCGATATCGATTTATATCAAGGATTGTGTAATGCGGATACGGTCATTCATTATCTACATTCCATACTTTTTTGCTAAAGTAATTACTATCCTCGAACGATTTGTATTTTTATTCTTATACAAACTCATTACAAGTATTTTGCGAGATTAAACAAATATGTAAATGACATATATCGAACAATTTCCATATCGATTTTTCGATAAAATAATTGTTATTGCTTTACGACAATTTTATTTCGGAAACGAAACTTGTCTCGATTTAAAATTAATATAAACGAATTACAGATATGAATGTGCTATCATTTTACAAGACGTAAATATATCTAATTTTTCTAACAATATCCTGATTTACTGATTTCTATGATAATATTGCCAAATTTTAATTTTAATTTTTCATATTATATCAAATGTGTTGCAAACTATATAACTCAAAAAAAAGTTTTTTATTTAATATCTTACACGGAATTTAACTACACGAATGATAATGAATTATACAAAATATGCTTTTTATCCAATACGTATCCTCTGTATATATGTATGTGTGGTATATGGCAAAACATTGGAAACATTTAATATCATTATTTCTAAATACCATAGATGAAATATATAAAAAAAAAAAAAAAAAAAAAAGGATAGAAAATAATAAAAGGAGAACAAATATAGGATAAAAATTGACTATCGACGCCATCTTTCGAGTCAATCAAGACATATCTCGAAAAGAACTCAACAGATGGTGCTATGATTATTTCTATACTTCGCCGCACTTTGGAAATAGCGTTGATTTCCAAATTGTGTCCGATCTCTATCTTTCTTCCATTATTTCTCCTTTTTTTCTGCATTTGCTTTTGGCGCGTAACAAAGGACAGAATATCAATTAAACATACTTTCATGATTTTTTTTTTCTTAGGATTACAATGTCTTAATCTTTAATGTAAAAAAGAAAAGAAATAATAATATTCTCGGTTTTTTTTTTTAATAGAACGTAACTCGTATCTCGATATTCAACGAATGCTATATATATATATATATATATATATATTGTTATATAAGGATAGATAAGGCGTAGATTATATAGAAGAATCATCAAGTATAAAAATTTATATCTTCGGGAGAGTGAATAAGAAAAACGGAGGAAAGATATTCTTAATATTCGTAATTTGATAAAATACAATTATATATATATATATATATATATGATTTTATTATTACGTCGATCGACGTAAATTAAATCAACAAATTTGAGTCGGTATATTTTTTCCATTCGTTTGTCGATAAATATATGTCGATAAAATATGGAAAATCGTAGAAATTGGTTAATATTCGTGTTTCGAAGAGATATAAATTATCGGCACAGTATTGGTAGCGTTTCGCAGCTAACTTTAATTCTATTGGCTATCTCTTGAACATATGCACTTACATATATATAAGGTGGAACGCAAACTCGAGTAGTATCAGTGGATGGAAAATGGCGACATCGAAAAGTCAGCGTTGGATGGTAGATTCGGGCATTCTGCGTAAAAGAAATGGAGAAGAGGAACCACAGGAGCTGTTGGTGTTTGGATATAGCTGCAAATTATTTCGAGATGATGACAAGGCGAAAATGATTGATCAAGGAAAGCATTTGATACCATGGATGGGCGATAGCACGTTGAAAATAGACAGGTCCGTTTCCCTAACCTAGACAAATTTATCATCTAGGATATTTATTCTTACATAAATGCACCGTACATATAACCTTTAGAAGAACGATTAATCGAAGCTAAACGAAATGCAGCAATTGGGAAAATTCAAGCATAAAAATGGTTTACGTACGGATAAGCAATTTGGAGACTGTTTAAGGTTTCTGCAGGTGTCTTGGCTGCTTGAACGCAGGCGGTGTGGAAGCGCGATATATACGCGCTCTGCACGGCCGTAGAGCAACGTGCTCTCATGACGTTGGTGTTTGTGGCTGACCGTCGGCGCAGCAGCAAGGTGAGACACAGCGTAGAGAGACAATCGGCAGCTGACGATTGTAGGTGTACTACAATCGTTCAGCATGGTATGTATTTTAGCGTTCTAGAATCGGGCGTACCGATATATGTACGACGTATATAACGACGCAGAACGCGTTTCCTGTTGTTCGCTACTGCTTCTGGATCCGTTACTAAAATTGAACGGTACAATACAATCGAGATCGATCATCGCGAAACTAGAGAGAGATAACGGTCGTACATGTAAGACGTTTCGTTGTTGATCGAACAAACGCGACGAGAGAGATATAATCGTTTCGTGAGATCGGTTATTAAAAATTTCTATCAATATTCTTATATCTTCGTAATAGAGTTTGAATGAATGAATGTAACAACAATTTTATCGTTATCGTCGTTGTTACCATTTTATAATTTCGATAATTTGTATTGACAATTTTTAAACGTTGATTTCCATCGATCATGATAATGAGAAAACAAAGATACAAAGATACAAACGGGATGAATTAATTAAAAAAAAAAAGAAAAAAAAGAAAAAAATATGTGATCGAGTATGGAGTATAATTGTATTCTATTTCAGAGAAATTTTGACTTTGACTCAAGCAGGGTTCGCTTCGTGACATTAATTTCCAGATGCCGCAATCGGGCAAATTCTCCGAAATATGCATACCATCTCTTCTACCTTTAAATTGATTTATGTATGTGTATAGATACGATGGACGCGGTGCTCTGGGGGACTTGCGGATATACGAACCACCGACAGGTGGGTTCGATCAACGAACGATCTTGACGGAAGATGAAATAAAAGTGGAACAATTATGCGACGAAGAGCGGTATCGGTCTCTTTATAATAATGAAATGGAAGATTCCGTTTATCACGGTGAGTAAAAGAGATAATGTATGCGATATATATATATATATATATACGAAATATATATTTATAAACGAAATTTATATCGAAATCGAAAGATGGAAGAAGAAATATTATTATAATTGTCGTCTCATTTTTTTTTCACAGAGGAAGAAATGAAACGATTGCATCAAGCTTTGGATTCCGAGAATACGTACAGTCAAGTGGCATACGATTACAACGAGGAGGGAAACGGATCAAAAATCGCGTGTGACGATTCGCAGAGTCCGAAACGATCGGAGGGTTCTCAAGAAGAAGATCAGGCTTTCGTTCCACCGACCGATCTAGAAATTCCAGAAGGCATTCCATTGGTTGGTAACAAATAAAAAAAAAAAAATATAAAATCGATCGTAAGATTGTACGATGTATATATGATATTTATTTTTCGTTTTTTTTTTTTTTTCATTATACGAAATAGCCGGAAACGCAAAAACTGAATGCCATCATAACAAAAACGGCGTTGTTTATAAGTCGTCAAGGTGGACAAATGGAGATTCTGATTAAGGCGAAGCAGGCGAATAATCCACAATTTTCCTTCCTCTCGATAGACGGGCGGCTTCATCAATATTATAGATGTATATTGGACGCGATCAAGAGTGGGAAATATAATCCCGAGAAACAGCCGGAGAAGGAAGAATCCGGTACGCATATTGTTTTTTTTTTTTTATTTAAAAGAATCTCACATCTAATCGGAACAAATTTTTCAAATTGTTTATTGTCGTGTTAAAATAATCGAAGAGAGTTAAAGCAGGATTTATTTACCCACATCTACTTTGATTCTACTTAGCTTTTCCATCCGTAAGTACTTCCACGTTATATTTGTTGATCCGTATTAACCTTTGTAACACATAGGAATCGTTAGTAAACTTGTATATACACCCGAACGCCCCGTTAAAACTTGTCATTCATTTTCAATGGTAGAACAAGAAGAAGGATCATCCGATCAAGACGACGAACCGTATCTTCATCCGAGCTTGGCGTCATCGTTCACCAAGATCGAAGCGGTGTGTATTCTCCACTCGTCGATAAAGTTGATTCGTACGTTTTTTAAACCGTTGATAACCGCTCAATGATAATTTACCTCGAATTCACCCGTGTTTTCAGGCTCCCAGTATACCGAGTATACAATACAAACCATCGGCGGATTGTGCTTATTCGATGCTTGTAAATAAAATAACCGGGAAACCACCACCGTCGAAAGCACCGGCCCAACATTCCGAGACCACGATTCAATCGGCGACCGGTATAGGATATTATCATCACGTGCCAGGACAAGTATATAAATATATATATATATATATATTTTTTAAAATAATTTATAATAAAATAATAAAATATATTTATTAATCAGACTTTTCCTATTTTATATATATATATATATATATATTATATATATAAAATAGGAAAAGTCTGATTCGAAGATGGAAGAAATTGGGTGGGGAAAAGGGATTTAAAAAGGTATAATTCTTGCTTTTTACAGAGCTATAATGCTTATTCGAATACGGTTACGGGGACAGGGACGATGACGGCAGCGGGGACAGGGATGGCTACGACAGCAATCACACCTGTACAGTATTCCCATGGCCCGGTGATATACGGACCGAATGGACAGATACAATCGCCGTTGCAAATCACTGTGGCGAATATACTGCCATCCGCGAACGAAATGGCAACGTCGCAAATAACGACGAGTGAAACTCAGCTACCGTTGGTACCGTACGGATCAACGTCTCAGAAACAATTGAGCAGACCATCTTTTATCGTTCCACCGGCGGATGTACAAATAATTATCGACAAAATGGCGAGTTACGTGGCGAAAAATGGTAGGGATTTCGAGGCGATCGTGAAGAATAAAGGAGACCCAAGATTCAATTTTCTCGAATTGTCGCATCAGTATCACGGTTATTACGCGCACAAGTTGACGATATACGAGGGCGCGGTAAATCCGAAGGTATTGACGGAGGAGGAGTTGTTGCAGAAACAGGAGCCCCAAGAGGAGAAGCAAAAGAAGTTGGAAGAATTGCAGAAGAAGCAGCAAAGGATGGAGGAGGTGCAGAAGAGGGTGAAGATGATACAAGCGAAAAAGAAGTGCGAGCCAAAATTGAAAGAGACGTCGATGACGGCGGCGGGGACAACGGCGGCGACGGCCACGACGGCAACGACGACGATGACCACGACCACGGCTACGATGTCGACGATGACGACGACAACGACGACGACGACAACGACCGCCACGACGATGACGACGACGACGACGGCGACGATGACGACGACCACGACTACGACGACCATGTCGACGATGTCCACCGTGTCGAACATGTCGACGACGATGACGACAACGATGATGATGATGACAACGACGACCTCGACCACGACGACGACGACGGCGACGGCGACGGCGACCACGACGACGACGACGACGTCGACGACGACGATGACGACAGCGGCGGCAACAACGACAGGGGCGAGCACGGAGGGTGTAAAGCAGATAACGACGGTGTCGTTCTCGATAAAGAAGCCAAAGGACGGGGAGACAGGGGTGATCGAGAAGCGAAACGCACTCTTGTTGGAGGAGAGCGATGAGGATATGGAGGAGGAGAGCAAAGATGGAAATTCGAAGCCGAGCTCGCCGCAAGGCTCGAACGAGCAATGCACGCTCGTCGTCTCTCTCGGGTCGACGTCGGTGGAGAAGGAGGTCGGTGGAACGTGGAAGTCGGAGAAAAAGTGGAGGAACGAGGAAAAGGAATTGGTAGATCTGACGGACGAGATTCTGGAGGATTGCCAGAAAGAGATTAGGCACAAGCAGGCGGAGGATAGAATCAAGGATAAATTGGTGGCGGCGGCGCGGGATAAATTGGCGGCCACCTCGAGGGAGAGGCAGCTTCAGTTGGAGAGGAAGAAGAAAGCGGCTGCGTTCCTCAGCCAGATACAGAGTAGCGGTTTACCAAAGGGGAGCGGGGCAACGGCGGCTACCGCGAGTCAAACAGGGGCGAGAAAAGACGATTCGGACGAGGTGCACTCCGTCCCGTCGCCCTCCCCCTCGCCGTCCTTGGAAGACGCAAAATCCTCCTGCGACTCGAGGAGCACAGGTGGAAATTCTTTAATGGACAGATTGAAGAGCGCCGATTTGACCGGGAAAAGGTCTAGGCCGCGATCGAGGAGTCCAAGCGGAAGTCGAAGTTACACAGATAGGCAAAAGTTTCACAAGAAACATAAAAAGAAGAAAAGTTCTCACAGAAGGTAACGCGACTTTTTCGATCGATTTAGATCACGCGTAAAACATTACGTTCGACGCGACGTAGCGACGCTCGATCATTATCACTCTGGTTAATTACTCACCGTTTTGTTCTTTTCTCTCTCTCTCTCTCATTCTCTCGTTCTCGCTCTCATTCTCATTCTCCCCCCCCTCTCCCTTCTCCCCCTTCCTCCTCTCATCAATCTTTTCTCTTCCTCCGTTTCTCTCGCATTCATCGTTTGTTTGTCGCAGCAACCACGACAGTCCGAGCAGTTCTCGATCACACAGATCCAAGAAGAGCAAGAAGTCCTCTTCCAAGCATAGGTCTCCGTCGCGAACACCGTCTCGAAGGCATCATCATAGCGCGCGACGAAAGGGAAGCAACTCCTCGTATTCGGATTCGAGTTCATCTTGAGAACGTGTTCTCCTCGTATATACATACGCGCGTAAAAACTTATCTACACATACGGCACATATATACATACATATATACGTGTACGCATACAAGTTATATATAAGTGTGCGTGTAAATACGTATGTATACATAGTTTCGAGGATATCTATGTTGATAATTAACGAATGCGTCGACGATAATCGAAGGGTTCGTAACAGAAACGATCCTTCGGTCGTATAAGGTTCACCTCGATTTTCACAAGATTCGATTAGATATCATTTCTTGCGCGATGCAATTAAAAAAAGAAAAAAGAAAAAAAAAAAAAAAAANAAAAAAAAAAAACGTGACATTTTGTAAGTGAAAAAAATGTAAATTGATGGAAAGATGAATCCGTTCTTCTGAAGAAGGAAACAAATCGGCAAGGGTCGTTTTTGATACGAATCCCTTTTCAATTTAATATAACTTTTGTCCAATGAGAAATAAAAAAAAAAAAAAAAAAAAAAAAAAAAAAAAAAAAAAAAAACCAACGGAAAAGAAAAATGGAAGAATAAAAAAGAAGAAAGTTTTAACAAGATATCGTACTGTTGATCAGCTGTAATTTATTTATTGCTTCTCCTTTATCCGACTACGGATAATATAAATATAACGCGCAATTGAATAAGATATATATATACGATATATATATATATACGATAGATACGAACAAAGATGAATCGATGACACGGAAATGCGACCCGAATCATCGTGATTCAATTCGTGAAATCGAAACTAGAAATCGAACTTGCATCGATTTTCGTAATCGTAAACATCTTGACAGCACCATTCGATAATCGATGTATCGACGCGGTCCTCTTCGTCGCGATGAAGAAATCTAACCGAACGTATCTATTCTTTTTTTCTCTCTCTCTTTCTTTTAAAGTTCGGCAGAGAAACAATCTTTATTTTTTCCCCGTTTAACGGATAAATATTTTGTTTTCCACGATACGTATTGTATTATATTTAACATCAAAGGTTATCGATTCGAAGTAGTATTCCACTATGTCGAATATAATAACGCGCGAATATAATCGATGGATTGAACGCAAACACGAGAGAAAAAAGCAAATGATGCAAAACGCGAGTATCTATTCCGAGTATCGTTTCCACTCGCTCTCTCTCTCTCTCTCTCTCTCTCTCTCCTATCCTCTTCTTCCCCTATCTTCTCGAACGTTTCTATCGTCTGAATAAGTAAGCCAAGTAGTTCTTCCCCGGTAATTCGTAGTATGAAAATAGCATCGATGCGTTATGCATTTAACACCGATCGAATATAAACTGCCACGAGGATTTATTTGCGCCAAATCAATCGTCGCCTAATTGAGTTTAATAAATCGAGAACGGATCGTTTGAATTACGCAAAAGGCTACTCGGAAGAGACACGGGAAAAAAGAAGAAAACACCTGTTTTTTAAACTACTCTCTCTCTCTCTCTCTCTCTCTCTCTCTCTCTCTCTCTCTCTCTCTCTCTCTCTCGCCAGAAAAGTCGGTAGGACCGGAAGAGGAACGGTTTTTATCGATTTGGAGTTGGGAGCGATGTGCGTCGAGGATCGATCGATTTCCAATCTCGTTTCTTCTTTCTCCCTAAATTTTTCCCCAAAAAAAGGAAGCGAGAATATGGATGGAACGGAGTGAGACTTTTCACTAGGCGAATAGAAGGCGAATATCGCAACGCGTTCGTTATTTTTCGTACCATTCTCGTAGCCAAGTACGAAGGAATATTTCTTTTTTTTTTTTTTTTTTTTTTCTTCTCTCACCGAATAAAGAATACCATTCACGAGCACGCATCCACGCAGATATCTTTGTGCGTCGCTTTTGACGCGATTACGTCAAATTATGCCTTTTGTCGCTTTATATAACCGCATTGATTAATTCGAAATAAGATTGCTTTCATAAAAGGGGGTGGGAGGGAAGGGAAGAAAGAGGAATCTCGATTTACTCGGGTCGAATATCGATGGAAAAAAGAATTGGAAGTCGGCGGGTGCACAAAAGCGCAAAAAACTTTCCGAACTGGGACGCGATGATGACGATGATAATGATGAAAGAACGAAAATAAATATTATTCGCGGGAGGGAGAGGGAGGGCAAAAATCGGTTGATCCTCCGAGAGAAGAGGAGGAGGAGGAGGAAGAAGAAGAAGAAGAAGAAGAAGAAACGACGAATCGATTGGACGAAGAAACGGAAGGGGAGGAGAGATTGGGATACTATCGGAGAGTGCACTAGTGGTAAATTGTTAAATTCCACGATATTTTTTCTTTTTTTTTTTTTTTTTTTTATCTCGTGCGTTCGTCTGTTTAGAAACGCGTGCGAATGTGTCGGATCGAGATAACGTGTATGGAATATTACACACGTGACCATACTTTGATCAAGCAGAGGTCAAGTGTGAATTGCCTCAGATTTATAAGTTAACTCGGTCGCATGGGACCGGTCAGTCAGTCAGTCAGTGTTGCATACTCAATATCAGTCGGAATATAGCCATATAGATAGATGTCGACGCAAACGTTGGTAAGTATATAAACAAGAGATACGAGGGAGCGAGAGGGAGACGACGAATCGAACAGCTATCGAACATAGAATTCGTATCTCTTTAATTTTCTTTACGTCTCCTTTACGTCTTTTCTCTCCCTCCCTCCCTCCCTCTCTCTCTCTCTCTCTCTTTCTCTTTTCGTCGATCGAGACACAAATACGCGGGACGAATCCAAAATACAAAACGATGAATGGCAAAAGAAAAAAAAATGGCGGAGGGGGAATTAACTCGTTTTTCTCTCCACCTCTTCACTTGCGCTCACAAACATTCGTTCTCGAGAAAGAGGGGAAGACAAAGATGGAGAAAGAGAGGAGGGAAATTAGAGAAATTTGGAACGACAGTTACAGCCGCAAAGGCAGCAACAACAAGCGAGGATTTTGGATCCTTCGGATAAGTATCGGCCGGAGCCTGTTTACGCGGGAAAATTGAAAAGGGAGTTCAGAGATTACTCCGAGGATCGGAACGATCCGGTCAAGGAGCGCGTTAGAAAGACTTATCAGAAAATGCACTCGAATCAAACTGTCGAGTTCGTGCGATGTGAGTAAGCTGTTCACGGTATAACGATTTCGAAGGATTAATTTTTCCAATCGATCTCTCCCTTTCTTCTTTTAGCACGTATGAAGAAATGGTTACGATTCGACAAGTTCAAAATGACGGTGAAGGAGGCTTTGACCAAGTTGAACAATTTGGTGGACGAGAGCGATCCGGACACCGATCTGCCGAATATCGTGCACGCTTTCCAAACCGCTGAATTGATCAGGAAAGAGCATCCCGACTTGGATTGGTTCCATTTGACCGGTTTGATCCACGATCTGGGCAAGGTAAGGATAAGCGGAGGAGGAAGAAAATTCCTTTCCTTTCCTTTCCTTTCTTTTCCTTTCTTTTCCTTTCTTTTCTTTTCTTTTCCTTTCTTTTCTTTTCTTTTCGATGATCGAGTAGGTGATGGCGTTTTTCGGAGAGCCACAGTGGGCAGTGGTGGGCGACACGTTTCCCGTGGGTTGCGCCTGGGCCGACTCGATCGTGTACAGAGATACGAGCTTCGAGGATAACCCGGACGGCAAAGACTGCCGATACAAGTGAGTAAAAGAGATAGGAAAGAAGGAAGAAGAAGATGAGATATCGTTCCGTTTCAGCACGAAATACGGTATGTACGAGCCGAAATGCGGGATAGACAACTTGCTCATGTCCTGGGGCCACGACGAGTATTTGTATCGCGTTCTTGTGCACAACAATTGCAAACTACCCGAGGAGGCTTTGGCAATGATTCGCTATCACTCGTTCTATCCGTGGCACGCGGGTGGCGATTACATGCACTTTTGCACCTCGAAAGATATGGAAACGTTAAAATGGATCGTCGAGTTTAAGTGAGTAGAGGGGGAGAGAGGGGGAGAGAGAGAGAGAGAGAGAGAGAGAGAGAGAGAGAGAGAGAGAGAGAGAGAGAGAGAGAGAGAGAGA